TATGTTTAAATAATTTAAGAGTCAAATTTCGCTTTTTTTATCATTCTGGACAAAAAAAATTGATTTTATTAAAAGAGTCAATTTTTTTAAAAATAAATTAAATTGTAATAAGTGAGACGATATATTTTAAAACATACTTTTATTTGAAATCGTTCTTTTAAATATAATTTTTTTTAAATACTTTGTATCACAAATTTTTCACTTTTCTTTAAATAGATTTTTTTTAAAATATATTATTTATTAAATAACTATTTTCAATTAAATTATTAATTTAATAAAAAAATTAAAATATTTATATAAACATATTAAAATTAATTCATTATATTTATATAAAAATATTATATTGTTTAAAAAAAGATACTTGTTGAAATTAATAATTTGTACTTTATTTCGATAAAATAAATATTTTTTTTATTTTCAATTTATACAATTATTTAATTTTGAATTCGATTAATTATAAATACTTCTGATGTGTCTATTTTATTTCAATAAAATAGATGTAAAATAAAATAGATGTATAATAGATGTATAAGTTAAAAATAAATAAAAAAATATTTTATTAAAATAAATGATATAATTATATCATTTTATTATTTTGATAATAAATTTATATTTTTTTAAATAATATAATATTTTAATATAAATATAATAAATTAAATTAAGTTGGGAGAGTTGTGTTGAACGCCTCTGCTTATTCATGTTTCGCCGACACTGTCTGTCCCCATACCACTCACTACTACCCACTGCCGCCGTTGCCATTGTTTTACAATCTATGTTCCTCACTCACACTCTCTCAATTATTCTTCTGTTCCTCATCCAAATCAAAAATACTATTAATCAGACACTTGTTACTTTAGGAACATTAATTAATAGACGCGTGTCAAACTTTTTTTTTTTTTATATCGCACCGTAATCTATATAGTATACCATAAAAAACCTTCCTTGGACACTTGTTTTATGTATCGTATCAAACTAACTCATTCAATTATTTCATCATACTTTATCTTCCAACTAGTGTTATTTATAAGAATAATCATATCTTTGGTTTATGAAACAAAGTGGAAGAATAAAAAACAATATGATTTTTAATTTTTTAGATGTTATTTTATACAAGTAATGGTGTATTTTTCTTTTGGAATAAACTATTTACTAGTTTTATAAATGATTAAATCTTTATACAAAAAACTCTTTTACTATTTTTAGTAATTTTTGTATTTTTGATTATCTTTTTTCATTCATAAATTTTACTCCGACTAAACTATACATGCATAGAGTAATAACAGTGTGTTTTATTTAAAAAAAAAATTGAAAGGACTTGAAGAAATTAAAAATTAGATTTAATATATATAGGATAATTAAGAGATTGTATAAAGAATGGAAAATGTTTTTTTCCCTGATCGCATTAAAGTAATAAAAAAATAAATAAAATGATGTAAATACCAAATTTTGTATTTTGTATTAAAGTAAGTTTATTTCACACTCCTGGATAAAAACATTTAATTGTATATTTTATTATTTTAGGATTTTTTATTATCTATTATTTATTACTATATTTAATTTTTTTAAATATTTTATTATTTTCTTAAATATGTAATGACGTGCTATCATAAAAAAAATTATATATAAACTTTTAAATATTTTTTTATAAAAATTGGTAACCAAATGATTCTTTTTAAAAAAAATTTTACACTTTAGTATATTATTATATATTTAGCTTGTAGTTAATATTACAAAAAAGTTATTAAATATAGATTAAAATAAAGATAAAAAATGTTCAATTATTATATTAATTAAGTTAAAATTTATTTTATAGTTAATTTAATATATGAATTAAAATTTAATTTGAATTTTAATCTCAATTATTAAAATTTTAGTTATTAATAATCAGAATCTAAATTATTAAATTAAAGTCTATTTTTTAATTATTACCCAAAACTAAAATTAAAGATCAGTTTGGATAGGATTTGGAAAAACAATTTATCAATAAATTTGTATCTATTCAAATTGGTTCAAATTTCTTATTACTCCTTTTAATATTTGAACAAAACTAATTTAATAAAATACTGATTGATTTAATTTGGATTAATCAACTTTCCTAAATGTTAAAACTATTACGTTTTGAGAAAAAAAATACATGTTTTTGCCAAAAAGTTTACATAATATATTATTATACTAGTAAAAAGTTTAAACAATATATATATAATACTGTAACTGACTTGTTAACCAAATTGTAATAAAAATTGTAAAAAATACATAATATATCATAAAACTTAATGTATAATAATTAATCGTAGAAAAAATTATAGTATTGACTTAATTTGAATTTGTTAGATTTGTGAAACGCAAATAAATATATGATACCCAAATAAATGATGGATATACTTTTAATTTATTATCAGTAATCAATAAATAATTTTTTATATAGACTTCAAACAGTTTATGGAAATAATATATATTTTTTCAAAGTAAAACTTTATTTTACTTAATCGCTGTATCTCATTTCAGAAAGTGGCTGCTTGTAAAATGATTTCATAAAAAAATGTTTTGGATATAGTATAACTATTTTCTAAAAAAAATTATAAAATATAATGATATTTAGTATTGAAAAATAAATTCATTTTTGAGCAAACAAAAATAATTAGTTTTAATTCTCTCAATTATTATCAACAAACGACATTTAATGTATAAATAATATACAAATCAACAAACATACCTATTTACAAAATGGTATAATTTTTCACACTGTATCTATATGTTTGAATGAAATTCATAAAAAGATATAAGTTAATAAATATTCCCACAGCTAAATTAGAAGTTGAGAAATATGAACATTAACCGTGAGTGAATGAATGAATTTGATCTACTATATTCATTTTCTTTACTTGTTTTTTTAAAGCGTGCTATGAACTCTTTCTGGACAAAAAGTTTAAGAGTATGCTTTCAGTGAGTACTAACTATTAATTCATGTGCAAACATGCAGGGTAAAAGCCACAAATATGTATAAAAAATTAATCATGGATGGTTACAAATTTTATATGAAACCTTGTCTTTAATTTTCTATTACTATATAAATTGAAGATGCAGTGTTGATTTGTTTATGTTAAGATCTCTGATTTGGTAAAATATGATGACGATCATAGGTATAGAGAGACAGTTGAGGTATTGGCAGTGGTAGTAGCTATTGTAGTTTGTGTGAATGAGAAATAGTTTGTGAAACATCCTTATCAATGTCAATGTCAAACTCAAAGGGAAGGGGATAGGGAACGTGTTTGTTTGTTTGTCTTGTTTGTTTCCAGAATCCAGATCCAAGGTCGAAACCGCTTTCTACTTTGGCAAGGTGGTTTTCTTCTCTCTAGCCGTTGTTTTGGTTCTTGTCCCTGCCCTGGTCGATGCATGACAAGAGGGAACTGTATAGTGATGTTGTAGAATGCAGTTGCATCACAACTGGGGAAAATGTATGGTCCAGATGCCTACATCATGTGCTATTCTAATTCATAATGACAAATTCCTTTATGTCCAATCAAACAGCCCCAGAGCAATAACATATCAGGTTAAGATATGTTTGTCTGCATGGGGGCCAAACACTATACCTCTACCTTATATATATATCTATGCACATCTATGTCTGCTTCCAAAACCTTAAGCATGCATGCACTTTCTACTCTGCAACAAACTAATCATCATGCAGGCCACATATATATGTAGCATATAGGGCTATGTATTTATATCTGTATTATGAAGGTGGTAGAAGAAACTCTTCCTTAATTATAGTGGGAGGTTCAATAATCATCATAATTTGTTGTTTTGTATAGTGTCCTTTCTCTTCACCTCAATTTTGATAAAGGTTGAAGGGATATATGTGAATATATATAGTTTGCTAGTTATATAACACAATTTATAATGTTAGGTGCGGTAGTGAAAACCAACAAGGATACACCAACCAACCAACCAACCATGTTTTGTGCTAGGTAGCACGTGTGGTCACAGTGTGAGAGATGTGCATAATCAGAGAGGTTAATTATAGTCCATGTAACCCAAATTGACAATTCCACTATGTATAATGATGTGTTAGAAAACTGGAGAAAGCTTCCTATCACCTGGAGACACCAAAAGCCTTGAGAAGAATTTCATTGGATGTGGTTGAACTTTTCACCATAAAGAATCACAATAATTATTCAAAGGTATTTTGGATGGAGACGTAAAGAAGGTAGGTAGGGATTGTGGGCGGTCCAAGAATTGGAGTAAAGCCTTTTTTCTTAGAGGGAATTGAAATTGATTTTGCCCTGTACGTCAGGATAAACGTTTGTGGAAGAAAGTGTTTACCTTTTGCGATTGATTTCCATGCTCAACCGGCTTCTGAAATTGACCAATGTGGGTCTGATTCATTGGCAGAGTTGAATCAATTAATTAGTTTCTTCTTGGATGAAACTGTGTGTGCATGAATCAACGAATTTCCTCAATATTAATATACTCACTTCACTTGCACATAATGTGTATGTGGAAAGAGCCGAGTTGGATTTGAGGGAATAAAGCATTGATTACGAGGACCCACCACAAGGTGTGATGAGAGAGGATTAAAGGGGTAATGATTTTTTTGTCCCTGATGAACGATGAGAAGTGCTTTTTTTGTGCTTCCACACAGTTCACACAGACACAGTAGCTAGCTATAGTTCCTGAAGTGAGAATAAAGCAACGACTTTTCTCTCCATTACTTGTCATGTTGAAGCCTCTCTGCACTTTATTCTATGCATTAATATTGACAGCCAGCTATAAGACAAAAGGGATGGAGTAAGTTATTCAGTCTCCCACACCCTCTCATCCACTGCTGAATTAATTTCTGCTGCGCAATAGCTATATTCACGTTCAACAACAGAATACCCGTGTGTGTGTTTTGGAAAAGAAATCAATTCACCTTGGATCTTTTCAAACAGTTATCCCTAACCATGCCTTTTTGCTCTCACTTTCTTCTTCCATATTCTAATTAACCAAGTTCATCTCATTTAATCATTATACAGAGGCAACACAGGCCACTTTGGAATTGGTGAAACGAATGATCTGATTTTGGCCATCGCTGGCTGCTACAATTTATTTCATAAACACAACTGAAAGCTCATAGCATACAAGTTCGCACCAGAGCAATGTGACGAACTGCACAAAGACAAGGTTGTGCTGACAACATCCTAAAATCTTGGAACACTTTGTCAGTTTGCTTTGAATAATTGACTAAAGAAAAACTTAGACAGTGGATCTCAAATATAATAGGCGCAGTTTTGTTATTGCTTAACTTGTATTCACATACAGAGATCAAACCATAAACTAATATATTTATCTCATAAGCAGTGACATAAGGATGAGCTGTTATACATTAGGAGAAAGGAGCAGTGGTGTGTTTAGTTAATAACAAAAATAGGAGTGGTGATGATTAAATATGTGATTAGTTAATTTATAGATGACCATGCATGTAATTTTAATACATATAGGATGTGATTCATTAGGGACAAGGGCAGTGTAGACCAGCAGGCATGTGTGTTTCGTCCTTCTTCGGCAACAACAAAATCTGAATCCTTGAAATTGAACCTCATTAGGGACAAATTTTCTGGTATCCTTCGCAAGATTCGTCCAATGAACCCATTCCAAACCTTTCACTAAGTCATATTGTGAACCAAAGGTGAACTCTTTTGATAATTTTACCCACTCCGTCGTAGACGCGGCATGCATGCATTTGCTCAAAACTTATCCATCTTATATATCCAAGTTGAACCCTAGACTTAACCAAACCAAGACTTGAGCACACACACAGGATCTGCCCAACAGCAGAACCCTATTGGTTTGCACTTTAATTTGTCTCCAATAAGATTAAATTAAAGAAATCAATTCATCTCTACATATACATGTCCAATGAAGTTGATGTATGTGTATAAATCACCACCATTAATGCTTCCATGCCTTATTTCAAACGAATTGACCTGCGTAAGTAAGTCTCCGGCTTCTGGATCAAACCGGCCTAATACCTAAATAATCTTTCATAGCCCTAACCACATCCACTTTTAATTAATAAAGGTTGTAATTTAGTGTGGATTTACCTAATCAATATCTCATTTCTCCGATCTCTTGTTGAATTTCTAATGGACGGTACTTGCTTTACACAGCTAATTAATCATCTATATACATAATTATTTTTTGCCCTACCAGGGTAGCATTACAACCTAACTAATTAATTACACGCCATTTACTTAATCTTAATACTTGTAATATTAATACATTTTCATCAAAGTCAATAATAATATTCAAGTGAGGGTTTAGGGCATCAAATGAAAAAAAAATTATAATTATAATGTTAATATACGTTTAATAAATATCACGACTTTCGACCATGTACAAAACGACAAGCATAGCAATGTTTTACTCGATTTAAATGAAAACGTGATATAAGGAGTAAAATATAAATAATAATATAATCCCTCAGATTCTATATTCATTAATTATTGAGGATATGTAGGATGGTATACATAGGTAGACCTATATCAGAGTCTAGGAAAAATGATTTAGTTTCTTCAAATATACGTTTTAATTAAAAATAATTGAAGTAAATTCCATGTATATTATCATTAATTAATTTGTCGTATTATGAATTGGTTGTTTAATGCATTAAAAAATGGTTGTTTGTATGTACCCAGTACAGTGGTGAAAAGTAAAGTAGATATATTTATATATTTTCTAATTTTTGTGATATACGTCTTCACTGTTCCACCTCACACATGCAGAAGCAGTCACATTAATGTATATACATTGCACACACATATGCTGCTATTGTTGTTTTTATGCATGAAAACAACCAGAACATGCCATAAACGTACTGTACTATCTACTAATGGCTATTAATTAAAATTTAAATAATAATTAATAAATCCACACTAAATTAAGAGAGGGCCCCACTAAAATTAATTACAAAAGAAGATCACAGAGGATTGACTAATTTCTTTTTGCTACAGTTCCCTTTGTTAGAAGCATCTTAACCACATGATCAATGTATTACTGATGACAACTGACAAGATGCTTATATATATATATATAATGTAATACGTAAATGAGACAAAATAAACAAATTGGGTTAATTGTTAATTAGAACTCTTCATTTTCAACGTATCTGTTATGTAACAATACTTTTGAATCATTCAAGCAAGTGCCAGTTGGGTCTAACATTTCTTTTAATGGTTCTATAGGTGCTGATTAAATAATACTAATACTCTGCATTAAGTTACTGGTTTTGAGGAAATGCCATTTTTTTTTTGTTCGAAAGATACTAATTCCTGGATTGGTATGTTTGGAACTTGTTGTCAGCAATTTGGCTGAGAAAGTTTGCATGCACTTTCAATCTGAGCATTATGTAACCAAAATCAACCGAATATGGCACCTTCAGTTCCATAGATTTTGGGCAATTAACGCCACCATCATCGATCACTGTCTATGAACCAAATTTATGTGTTACAGACTTCAACTTAGATTAAAATGTTGTAGCCTCGTAGGTTACGGATATGTTTAACCAGAAAAAGAAAAGCTCAAAGATAGGTTTCCTTTCCCTATTTTAGAATTTTTTGGAAGCTTTGTGGTTGCTTAGAAGCACATGGTCTCTCTGCAAAATTCTGACGATGCAAGTCTACTGCACTCTCTCTCTCTCTCTCTCTCTCTATTTCAGTAAAATTCTTAAGCCTTATACACTATGTTTTGAATAAATGTATGAGTAAAATGTGACATACGAATCCTTCTTTCTGTAAATCTTTTGTTTCTTTCCTTCTTCATTGATCTAACTTCTGACCGAGTCATTCCCAAATGAATGGCAAAGCCATTATTTATCTTTATGTATTGAAGATTGTAGCTTCCTTGCTCAATCACAGTGTTGGTGAAGGTCCATGTGATGTGCTCACAAAGTGGTTCATTGATGTACATGCGTGGTCGCATGCATCCAACCAAGATTTGGAAGCTCTCAACAGATTTCTCTCTTTCATTTCACTGTTTCTTGTGGGAAAATATTATTTTTCTTGTGATTATATTGAATCAGTTGCACCTTGCATTAGTATTAGGCCTTTTCTCCCTGTCAGTGAAACAAAGGAGAGTGATAATAGAAAAGCTGAACCTACTTCCTCGTTCACATGCTACTGCATTCTATTTTTGTTTTATAGCGAGGATGTGTTGTAGTAATGTTAGGGAAAATAAATTATTGTAATAGTTAATTGTACGTGTAATTGATTATTATTATTATTATTTTAATTGATATGATTACAATGAGTTTTTTTTTTCAAATTTATTGATAATGATTTTAAGTTAGAGATTTTTTTAGAGGAAAAGAGTGGTTGAAGACAAGCATAAACTATTATAGATTATTGAAAAACTTTTTATCTCATTTCAATTGACATCTTAAATAACCTTTTTGTTTTCTCAAAAAGTGCTGAAAGCGTCTCAAAAATATTCTTCTCACACATTCTCTGAGTCTCCCATTTAAAGGTTATTGACAAGTTTGAGTAAATAACTATAGTTTATGTTACTAGACACGTGATCTGTGCATAAAAAAAGTATTATTTTGACTATATATTTATATTTGCAATAAAAATTTAACAAAAATAAATTAGAGCTAAATTTTTTAATCAACTATTCAGGCAATAGAATTCCTAATTAATATTTAATTAGTTTAATAAATAGTGTTAATCTCGTAAAGTTAAGCTAATTCTGGGAAGGCATTATTTAAACTATATATATCAATAAGAAATATTAGCCAAACAAATAACGGAGATGGTAAAAAAAGGGATTAGTTTACGTTAATTAGTTTGCAGAAATGCACGTATAAGTGGGTACAATAATAATAATAATTATTATAACATGGTATTTTCAATTAACATGTTTAATGAGATGATGAAATAATATATTTAACAAAAAAAACATTTTAATTTGAAAAGTTTTAAAATAATTATTAAAAAAAAATTACAAAAATGGAAGTAGCTACAAGCAGAACATGAAGCCAATGATTAATCCCAACATTTTTCCGTGTATAGGGGAACTTAACTCATTATGTTCTTCGACATATCATTTTCATAAAAATACAGACATGACCACAATGTTTTATTTTATTTTCTTTGGCGTTCACTTTCTTGTTTTATTACAACTTCACTTCATATACACCGTTTATCATATTTTTTTCTCCATATATATATATATATATATATATATATATATATATATATTGAAATATATGAACACCCTTTCGTTATATATATATATATATATATATATATATATATATATTTTTTTTTTTTTTTCTTTTCTCATGATATCATATACCATATTTAGGTCTTTCTCAGCTAAATTTGTTCATTGTAGTCGTATAAAGAATAAAGAAAAATAAAATAAAATTCTTAATATTAAAGTAATTTTTTTTAACTTCTTTAAAAAAAATTATTTTTTTATATAAACTAATTTTAGTTTATGAAAATAAATTACTTAATGTTTTATCGTATAAGTAATTTATTTTCTCTTTAATAATTGTTATTTATGTATGTAGACACTTCATGGTAGTGGATGGAGAGTAGAAAAGAGTAAGAAACATGAGATAAGAAGGATAAAAAAGTAATTACATGAGAGATAGAGAAAACATAACGTGATGAAATGAGTTTTGTATTAGGGTTATTATTATTATTATTATTATTATTATTATTATTATTATTATTATTATTATTATTATTATTATTATTATTTTATTCTAATCTCGTGTTTGAATAGGCACCGCAACCAATGGGATATGGCATAAAGAAAAGGAGAGCAATGATTTCGTATATGAATGTTTAAAATTAAAAACTCTATAATAAGAATAAATTAAATATTCTCAATAAATTAATTAATAATAAGTTAAAAATAAAAATTAAAAACTAGATTATAATACAATTTAATATTATTATGATATCATTAACAAAAATACTTAAATTAATATAAAAATATTCTCCTATTCTCCCCAAAATTCATTCTCTTCATATTTATAATTATTTTTATGTATATAAGTTATGATTGATATAAAAAATTAAACGTTAAATTTTAGAATACAGTGGAACTTAATCTAATTGATGATTAATAAAAATATATAAATAAATCAAAATTTTATTTAAATCTCATAAATTTTATTAAAAATAAATTAAATTTATTATAATAATAATATTATTGAGATCAATTAAATCATTTATATTTTAAAAAAATACATCAATAAACTAAAAAATATTTATAAATTACTTTAATCTCAACTCTAAAGTTATTAGTTATTGGAAATAAAAATAAGATTAAACGCAAAATCAAGTGTAGGTTGTGAAAACCAATCCAATCATTAAATTAGCCTATAGTAGAAAAAAATAAAAACATAATATAGATATTAAAATTTCTTATATAGAATGATGAACAATAAATAATTGGAATTTATTTCCGAAAAAAAAAGATTACAATAATTGTTTCATTACTTTATAATTTAATTCTAAAAAAAAGTAATAGAATTAATCCTATTCCATATTCTTAAAAATATGAAGGTAACTATGTTTCATTTTCTGTTAAAACGAAAACTGCGTATCATTTTATTTTTTCCAATCCAGGTCTTATTGATTCATCCATTAAAAAGTAAAGAAACATAATATCAAAATTATATATATATATATATATATATATATATATATGCACTATAATTATTTATTAACTATTATATATGAAACGACATATGTTAATTATATACAAGAATCTTCACATTTTCGGAATTAGTTTTTAATTTTTAACTTTAATTAAATATCATAACAACCACAAACAGTTTTTTTTTTTTTAAACTTATCACTCTTAATTAAATTTTGTATTTATAAAAAACACACACTAATGTTGAAAGTCATCCATTAAAAAAATATGATTTATTAATTTTGAAAGCCATCTATTAAAATCTAACTTGATGAAATGATAATTAAAACGTATAAAATTGTTATTTGAATACAAGTGTAAATAAAACTATATTATACATACCCATTAAATTAAAAAAAAAAAAACTCTTACTACTTGGATTGATGAAATAGAAAAAAAAAAAAAAAAAGTTGGAGTGTGATAAGTTATTTTATGTTTTTTACTGTGTAAATAAAAGTTACTGTATGTAAGATTGAATAAATTGTATTTCACGTGCAAAGCAGTGAGCATTTTTGGGGGGCTTTATAAGGGAAAAACTGGTTGCAAAGAGGACCCAACACAACACAACACAACACAACACAAGTGGTTTTTTCCCTTCATCGTCTTCCTCTTGAAGGTATTGAAGTTGTTTGTTATGTGTTTGCCCGAGGGAGAGAGAGACAGAGAGAGAGCCATGGCACTGGAAGCAGTGGTGTTTCCACAATCACAAGACCCGTTTGGTGGTTACGGATCAGTGAAGGACTTCTACAACTGCACCTTCTTGTCTGCTACTTCACCCAACTGGGGGGACTATGAACACATCAACATCGACATCAACAAAGAAGAAGAACAAGGTTCTATCGCCACTTTTCTCGATAATAATAACAACCAACCAGACAATTACTCTTATGGAGGAGATTGGACCAGCTCCTCCTCTTCTATCTTACCCCACTTGAATGAGCTTCAAGAAACCACTGACCCCAGTAACAGCACTCAAAACTTGGATACCTTAACCACTCGTCCTAAGAGGCGCAGAGCTAAAAGCAGAAAGAACAAGGAAGAAATCGAGAACCAAAGAATGACTCACATTGCTGTGGAGCGCAATAGAAGAAAACAGATGAATGAGTATCTTTCTGTTCTTCGCTCTCTCATGCCGGACTCTTATATTCAAAGGGTACTTCTCCCCACTTCACTTTGTTCTTACTTGTTTGTTTCTTTTCTTGCTTGCTGCAAAAAGAAAAAGGTTTAATTAGTTGACTTTTGTTTGTGTTGTTTGTTTGTCTGGTTTGGTTGGTGATTGAAGGGTGATCAAGCTTCTATAATTGGAGGTGCTATTAACTTTGTCAAGGAGCTTGAGCAGAGGCTGCATTTTCTTGGTGCTCAGAAAGAAGGAGAGGCGAAATCTGATGCTGGTGGTGCAACGAACATGCCCTTTTCTGAGTTCTTCGCCTTTCCACAGTATTCAACAAGTGGTGGGGGTGGGGGTGGCGGCGGCTCTGATAATTCTGCAACCATAGGTGAAGACGTGGGTGAGGTTAAGTCTGGCATTGCTGACATAGAAGTGACCATGGTGGAAAGCCATGCAAATCTCAAAATAAGATCCATGAAGCGCCCCAAGCAGCTCTTGAGGTTGGTCTCTGGTTTGCATACCATGCGCCTCACAATCTTGCACCTAAATGTTACTACCACTGGGGAAGTTGTTCTCTACTCTCTCAGTGTTAAGGTTTGTCTTTGTTGGTGCCTTGGACTTCAGATATTTTTAGGTAATTATTTTCTTCTGCAAAGTGAAAATGTGTTGAAATTTTTGTTGCAGGTGGAAGATGATTGCAAGTTGGGATCCGTTGATGATATAGCTGAAGCTGTGTACCAGATGCTGGATAGGATTCAGCAAGAGGCAATGCTGAATTAAGATCAGACCTAGACCAAATTTGCCTTGCCCCACTTGGTTTTAACCTCATGTCTAGACCTTACTTCATGGTGGATCATTATCTCTCGCTATTTTTCTCTTTCAAGATGTACCTAATTATTGCAACTTCTATTCACTTCACCCTTTGTTAATCTACTGATGGTGCCTTGATGTGGACTCCTTGGAGGAAGTTTTTTTTGGTTTATTCCTTCTTGTGTATGTCTTTGTAGCTCACGAGCTTATTTTCATCTCTCTATCTCTTTCTCTTTCTTCTCTTTTACTCTGGGGTAGGGGTGGACAAGGCTGTGTGGTATATTGTTCTTGAGACATATTCTAGTGCTTAGTCAATTTTGCCCACCTTGCTTTGAAATTGGTAGGGCTTGTCTACCTCAACTATAAGCCAAAGCCAAATTGTCAAGCTGAAACTGAGAGCATCTCAAAATAAAATTGAATGAAAATAAGAGCCAACGATTTTTGGCAATTGTCACATATAATTAAATACTCCATATATTGTTTTCTTTTCGGTTGTGATCATAATTTAACAAGTCTGTTCTGAAATACCAACTCAATATTCCTCAATCCCTTGTATGTGTCATGCAAGGAATGGGAAGAGGCTTAAACCTCCATCAGTTTAAACTTACACTTACGCATGATCAGAGGTTCTGAATGAATATTGGACTCAAGGACCGCAATGTAAATTGTCTGTAAAAATTGATTAAATGGAGAGAGTAATCAAAGTTCTGCATAATTTTCTGTTCCGGATTTGTAGCAAAAGGTTCTAACTGTCAAAGGAGACCCACCTACACCGTAGTCTGTACCAAGTAAGTACTAAGTAGAGTTGCATTGCAGGGGAAGGCTGCGGAGCACAGATTCAAAAGGGCTCACCTTTCTCTGTGCATTGTGTTGCACGCAGAACAATAAATAAAGGGTCCATCCTTATCATCATAATCATCATCATCATCAAGATGGCTATACTGAATCCATGATGCATGTGTCTAAGTGTACTCTGTGTATGTAGTATATCACGGATTCTTACTTCCCTTTCTGGCTCTATAATTATTTTATAACTGAGAAAAAAATTGCAAATGATTAGCATATTGAAGGCAAAATAATGGCCCCATGAGGCTGTACTATGTTCAATGACGAATCCCAAGGTAAAATAAAAGGAAAAAAAAAAACGAGTTGGTTTGGTTTGTGGAGGTGGGATCTCCAAGAGCAGAATGAAAAGAATAAAGTTACAGATGTAAAATAAACTGTTGCCAAAACCAAAGTCCTTTTTTGCGGTTTAACTTGTTGAATGGAGGTGTGTGTTGTTGAGTGATTTGAGAGAAAATAGAGTAAGTTGTCTAGGTGAAAAAGCTTTCCCTTCATTGATACACTTTATTTTGTACTCAAACTTTTTGTATGCATTGGAGGTTTGAGTTATCGTGATGATTGCTGGAGTAGTAGTGAACTGTGTGACTTTCTAAGTAGTGGCCATTCAACAACCATGATCTCATTATGTGATCTTTTCTCAAATTTAAAACCTTGTTCTGTTCCCCCTTTGAGTGAAAATTTTCCCTTTGGTCAAATCCAAAACAGTAATAACATGGATTCATGGAATACTTTCCAATTTTATAAGGATTTCCTTAATTACTTCAACTATCTTACTATGTGTTCCTTTTGAACTAGCAGTACCACCAACCAACAAAGGTAGCCAAAAGTTGCCATTCTGCAGAGAAAGTTAGAGAAAAGTGAATTCTGCAACTCCTAATTTCTTGTAACAAAGAAAAGTATAAAACCCTCTCTATTAGTCCACTAACTTTTTGCACCCTTTCCTCAGCACAGCTAATTATTTTTACAACGAAAACATATTAAAGCACTTGAAAATCCTCTTTAATGCAGAAAGCCTTTATGTGAATTGTTTTTTCGTTTAATAGTTAGAAGAATTAATTAGTAAGGATGATTGCATTTCAACCTCATCACATCCTTTGATGATCATATTTTTACATTGTTTTTAGCTTCATCTTCTTCGTTTGTCCTCGGGATCTTGTTCCTCTTTTAATAGAAGCTACCTTTATTATGTTAAAGTTTCAGTCTAGATATCTAATTCATCTAGGTTCTGGATATAAGAATTGTTAAACAATAAAGCCATCATCATTTTGGTGATGGAATTTTTTATTACTACTAAAATGTACCATTTACATTTTTTTTTATATTAGTAAATATTTTATCTAGTGATAACATTTTTTAAATTATAAAATATTTTTTTTAAAATTTATTTTATAATTCTGATTTTTTTTTATATTTTAAAGTAAGTAACGAATTTTCTTAGGAAGGGGTCATGACCCTATCAAAGTTTCATAATTTCTATATAATTTATGGTTTTAACTTTCCCAAACTTAATGATAATTTAATATATTTACTTCTTATAATTTTATCTTTTTTAACCTTTTATATTTATTTATTATTTATTAATAATATATTATTTATTATCAAATAACCATCTTACATCATATACTTTATTTAATTAATAAAATAAAATAAAATCATATTAATATTAATTAACAAAATTAAAAATTTTAGATCATTTGTACTCATATTTTATATTATATTAAGAGTTTTATTGTATTTTATAAATACTTATTTATATTTTACATTTTTTTCCTTTTTCTTATTTGTAATAAATTGAGTATATTTTAAATAAGAAAAAATATATTTTGAAAACTTTTTATTTATAAATAAATTTTCAATAAATCTATTTAATAACATAATATTAATTTAAAATTATTTTTATTTTGATTGATTCTTTTTTATGATTATAATAATAATAAATTGAGTTGTGTAATAGTTATTTGTATTTTGGTGGTTATCAATAAAAATGTTTTAATTGTGTATTTTTCTTTGATATTTATTTATTTACTATAATTTTAGTTGTAAATATTCTTTCTATTTTATTAAATTTTTTATTTTAAAGACTTCATATGAAAGATGAAATTTGGAGTGCAGAAATATTTTTTTACAATTTTTAGTACTGAATTTTAATATACAAAATGGCATTTTGTAATTAGATTTATAATACCCATTTTGACTTAAACCAAATAAATTAATATTTCAAAATCTTATATAAATATTTTAGAAATTGAAAATCTATAACAATTATGTCAAAATTACATATTTTAATTTAGTTTTTTGAAATGATAAAAAAAATTAAAAATATTATTTTTTCATGACCCAAGACCCCGCCAGTGACCATAAAGTGTTGAGTTATATGTATAAGATGGAGTTGTAAAAGAGAATGATAAACAATTGATTATTTGAGGAAAAAAAAATTATATAGCAAAAACTTATTAAAATTGGTGTTCTGGAATAAATTGTTTAAAATGATTCACATTTGTGGAGAACAAAATGTTATTGACCAATATATGATCATAATACTTATTTGTTAGAAACAATTTTTGTTGTTTTTTTCAGTGATAACAATTAACAAAGGTTCTAACTTTTACAAGTCGATTATACAAGTTAATAACATATTTTTAATAAATAAATGTTAAAGAACTTTATTGACTTTCATAAGATAAAAATCAGAATATTTTTTCATTTGTATTTACAATTGTTAAAAATTGAAACAAATGAAACGTATACATGATTATTCAAACATTTAAGATAATATGTTAACCCTCGTAAAAAATTATATATTATATCTTATGGATGAGCAACTTATTATCATTACAAGAAATTGCATGGAATATTGAATGAAGTTGATTTACAAACATTGTCCTTTCACATATTACTTCAAGCTTTACCAAAAACTTTCATAATATTGAGTTAAAAAATAATTAATATATAAATAAGTTTTTATTTTACAAGAACTATAATAAAATAATTTTATATTACAAGGACCAAAATAATAAAAATAAAATATTATAAGAACGATTTGCATATTTAATATAAAACTATTTTTAAAACATAAAAAATATGTTAATTTTGTTATATTAATTTAATTATCTTTATTTATAAAATAAAGAATTATAATTTTTAAACTATCATGAATGAAAATAATTAGAAACGTATTTATATATATATATATATATATATATATATATATATATATATATATATATATATATATATATATATATATATATATATATATATATATATATATATATATATATATAAAACCTCTTTGAACTCTAATATGAAAAAAATGTTTATAAGTAAATATTAAATATATCAATCTTATTTAATATCATTATTTCAAAAATAAACTCATGTTTAAACATGAGTTACACCAGTTCTTCTGATTACTATAGAAATTATATTATGAAATCAATAAAAATAATTTAATATAATCAACATTAACATGCTTAATCGACGTGAAATTAGATATAAATTAAAAATGTAATTTTTTTAAAATTTATTTTAAAATATAATCAATAAAAAATAATTTATAAAAACAAATTTATATTAAATATGTAATAATTCCTATAATAATTTATTTTATTATTTTTACTTTTCTAATATATTTTTTTCTGGTCTGGGTAATATAAACTCTATTGTTGTTTTTAGTTTTCAATAATAAAATTTATTAGTTTGATTTTTGATGTTTAAATTTTGTCTTTAAGAAATGACATGTCACATACCTATGTATATTAATTACGTGACATTTTGTTTATTACTTAATTATTTAAAAGAAAGAGTTTAATAAAAATATTAAATAGTAATTTTTTTATTATAAAACTTAAATGACCAAAAAATAAAGGACCAAAATGATAAAATAAAATTTGTAACGAGATGAATAATATATTTTAACCTAATAATAATAATTGTGATTCATTGGTTGTTGTTGAAGTTCCAGGTTGTATGTTAGAAGATTCATTTGTTTTTACCTTGTACTTTCTTGGGGAGTGTTGCATTCATAGATTCCGACCTCTTTGTTTCTCTCTCATGAATTCAAAAAGTAACACTTATGCCAAGACGTGAAGATTAAGGTTGGATTGCAGCTCCAAGAAATAAGCACATAAAAAGAGATGCAATGGGAATATATTTGTAAATTGCTACACATTATATACAGTTCAATTAATAAATAAATAGTATGCAAACTAGATAATGTTACTTCCTTTCTTTGATGACATAGTATAAATAAAGCAACAAAGACATAGTATAATTTGAAATTTATTTATCTAAATTAACATTTTAAAACATACAAAATAAAAATAAAAAACAATTGAAAAATTTCATCTATACACATCATAAATACACAAAAGTAGGATTATACTATGCAAAGTATAAATTCCCAATAAACCAACGTCCAATATCTTCTAAATCTTATTCCCTTTTCTCATATTAATTTTTCCCTTCTAGGTTCATCAATGATATTAATTACTTACAAAATAATTGAGAAGTCAAGAAAGCATTTTATTTTCTAACGTGATTAAAGGATTGTAAATATCAAAATCTAGCTAAACTCAATCTATACTGATAATTTATTTTTTGGTTTATAAGTTTTATGCTTAAAATATGGAGTCACTATTTACAAAACCGCATCTCCAAAGAACACTTTCTCAACTCGTTCTTTTTAAACGAAAAAACTTAAATTCCCATTTGCAAGAACAAACCAAATAGTATAAGAGAGGCGTAATTGATGATTGATTTCTTGAAATTGAATTAGGTTGCTACTCTTCTCCTTAACAACAATTCGAGCTTGCAAGTCAAATCTTAAAGTCAGTCGTCATCTAATAATAAAAATGCAGAATTCAATTGTAGTTCAATCATTAGTAACTTCTAAGAAGACATTTAAGAAAGAACAAATTAATTAAGTCCCTATCTTCTTACAGTTCCTTCCAAGAGCTCAAACATCCAACAAGCCATAGCGCCTATGTTAAATCTAATATAAATAGCAGAAGGTTTAATTCTTAACCGTGTTGCTCTCCAACTCCCTTTTCAACTGAAGGGAGAAATCATCACTAACATCATCATCATCCCAATCATCCTCCCACTGTTGAGTCACTTCTTTCCCTTCCTTCTTGTCATCCCATTCTGAAAGTTGTGAAACAATAAAGTGCAACAGAAATCAAATAAAAACATTAGAATGAGATCAAGGCCCCAAACAAATCAAGTTGAATAAGAACTCCCCGATACCCAAAGAACATTCAGAAACATCACTAGAAACAAAAAAATAATCCAAGCAATCAAATGAATATCCTGATATTTGCTTACACAAAGTAATTATTACAAACGGAAAAAAGGATGGATGGCATGAGGAGCTAACGAATGTAAGCTAGAATAATGCCTCGGCTAGATGTAGTATATTGTAGGCATGCCTAAATCAGAACAAAATATTATGCACAACATGAGTTTTGATCCATATGGATACATTTAGTTTAGTGCCCCTCCCCTGCTGTAATAAAACATCTTGAAATTTTACTTGCTACTGTAAAGGCGAGGGTCACTAGTTGTATTGATATTACATTTTAGTCCTTGAAAACAATAGCTTTTAAATTGCAATGAGGTTCTTTCACCCAGTCCATCTTTCTCACACTGCTTCAAAGCTCAGCAACAGTACTTTACAAAGGGAAAGAAAATTTTAGTCCCTTAGCACGAGAAGCAACAAGGGCCAATCAAACACTGATAACACAAACTGAACCTTCAATGCTGAAGAATAGGAAATATAAGGGGGATTTCATTGCATGAAGGAGAAAGAGTTAATCCATGGAGGTTTTAGCTGTGGGCTACTGGTTAGCAGTGTTGCTTTAAAGAAGAAGTGCCACAGCTTTGTGGAGCAGTGGCTCTAGTTGCAGCCTTGCAGGTAGTACAGATTGAAGTTTGTTGGGGGTGCAGAGATGGTGATGAGGGTATACCGAATAGTAACAAGAACACAGTGACAAAACAAAAAGCAGTAGAAAATTATACTCAACTCGCAAGAATTTGTAAGAAATATAACAGATATTGGATAGAAAATAGAAACCACAAGAGACAATGGTTTTTAATGTGGGTAACCCTCAGCACAAGAATAAAAAACAAGGGTCATCTAGAACAAAGAAATAGTTCCAATATTATCAATAACGGGAACAAAAGAATTTCTAACAAATGCATACAATCAACCAAAGTAAATCAAACTAAATACCTATGCTAAAAAATAAAATGAAAAAAACCCAAAAATAGAATTGCTACTGCAAATAGCTTTTCTTCTGCTCTAGACCTTCAATCGATAATCCAATTATTGAAAATATTCACCAAATTTGAGCACGATTAAACAGAGAGCAAATGTCTAGATGCAATTGCAATCACTGCTGTGCAAACTGCATAAAGGTTGATTCTTCTACTCAGTCCCTTGTTGCTGCAAATTAAGTATAATGAACCTCTCCTCTAGCGCTATTATGACCCGCTCCACATATGAAGGGAGTCCAAATAGGTTATCTCGCAAAGCGGAGAAGGTTCCAACAGGCTTAGAGGAGAAGAGCTTATTATACTGAAATATTAAAAAATAAACAGTGACAGTGAAGAGTGAAAAAGTCATTGTGCAATTCACACATCACCACACGGTTGTGCTTACAGTCTAAACGGGATATTCGTTTACAGTTGGACAGTCATTTTTTATTTTTAACGGTTGGATCGTCAATTGAAAAGGTTTGGAGCGGGAGCAAAGTTGTTAGCAGTGTTCTGTGTTGGGGGCTCTAGTTGCAGGCAGTGCGGTAGAGGTTTGTTGATGAATAGAATGGACAAAAACGTTGAAGCAAGAACTAACTAAAAAATTTAACTAAGGGTGGGGTCTCTTTAACGTACGAGCTTCTTCATTTCAACTTTTTGAGAGAAAAATAGGAAGGAAACTGAAATTAGTTTCTTCATACACTAAAATTAGCTTATGCATGAACTAATTTGTAAAAAGTCTCTAACGTAACTCCTCGGAATTCTTATTTTTAATTTGTTCACAAGTCAATTTTATCTCATAAAAGTCCTTAAGGAGAAGCATGTACAAAGAGACCACAACTATCCTACTACTAATCTGTTACCGGGGATTAAGAAAAGGAGATTACTGGAGTACGAAATAGAAGATATATCCCATACGGTTCTGTTCATCCGCCAAATGAAATACCTCAGTCTCACTCAAATGCGATAAAATCACTAATTTATGACAAAGATGATGATAGGATTACCGATCAAAATGTCAGATAGGAGATATTCCAATCAATTTGAAAGAACTAAAAAAAATGGAAAATAAGAAACAAGAAATATGACATTGAAAGGGGAGAGAGAAATTAGATAGGGGGATGGAGAAAAAAAGAAAAAAGAAATTAACCTTGGCTGATTTCAAACTCTTCAAACTCATCATCATCTTCAAAGAGATCGACCTTGACGTCGTCTTTGGCTGGTTTTGGTTCGGTGGCCATGGGTAAAGGTGAACGTTGAGTTATTTCGAAAACCCGAGTGCGTAGTTGACAGGGAAGGAGGAAATTAGGTTTGAGATCATATAATTTCTTATTACGTTGTTTTCATTCCTCTAAACTTTTGAATTTCCTCATCAAAGGTTTATTGTCTAAAAATATATTTTATTGGTATGATTTCAGCAACGATAATAATAAATAAAAAAACAATTTGAAATAAGAAAATATTTAATCTAAAAAAGATAGATAGAAAATATAATAAAATTTTAATAAATATTTCACGTGTGTATAAATACAAGACTAATAACATAATTAAATCTCTTTAAACATAGTAATATTCCTTCAACATGTAATTTTTAAATATATTTTTAATTTAAAAAATTAAATATACAATTATTATTAAAATATTTAATAAGAAAAATGTTTAAAAAATAATTAAAATTTATCTAATTTTTTTCTATAATTTAAGAAAAGTAATAATATACTTTGCTAAAATTATATTTGTTACAATTTGTAAAAAAATTGAAAATACAAGTTACTCTTAAGAAATTATATATACTTTTAACGAAAAAGTAATTTCATATTTGAATATTATTTATATTTTATTATTTCATGCCAAATGCATATAATATAATTCAACTTGCCCTTAAATTTTATATTAAAATTAAATACGCTGCTCAAGAGAGAGTGTGAAGGTTTCAATTTATTAATAGGTGGTGATAATTACTTTTTTTTTTTTTTCAAATTTAATAATACTACTAGTAATATTTTGAAGGGGTAAAGGGAGAAAAAAGAAACACAAGACGGCGCACATAGTTTTTGTCAGGAGAAGCATCCGAGGAACAAGGTTGGTTGTGTGCGAGAGCAGGATTGTGATTCATCCGTAAAATTCATTTCGTTTCTCTCTAACTCTCACTTCAATATTTTTAATCTCTAACCTTGTGTTTTGCCACTGCATATGTCTCTGCCTTTAAAACCGTTTCAATCCACTTTTACTTTTCTTGCTTCCTCTGACTTTGCCTCCGCTTCATCTTTCTGCTCCAAGTACACAACCTGTTCGATAAATTAGCTCACCCGGTTTTATTTCAGTTTAAGAGTGCTTCTTTTGAAATTTTTAAATATATATGCTTTTTTATGATTTTTTTTCTCCTTTCTCTCTGCGTGTCTCTAGGAAAGAGAGCACTTTTTTTTTTTTTTAGTAACGGTGGGTAATTTTGTAACAGGGAGTAGAATGTCTTGCGCCACCTTCAATGTTGCAGCTTCTTTGAATCTTCACGGATGCACTAAGAATGCAGTTTCTAAGTCACTTGGGTTCAGACAACACACAACTTTCCACAAGTTTTCTTCTCTCTTTTTCGAGACCTGGAATTTGAACTCCACTGATCGTAGTTTTGTCCGGGAAACTCCCTCACGCTCATTCCATAGTGTTTTCAAATGTGCTGCTCAGAATTCACAACCATATCCTTCTGTTGGCGTTGACACAGACAACAATTCTCGTAAGCACAGTAGTTTTTATATCTTTTCATTCCCATCTTCATAATGGTTTTTTAGTGACTTTGTCCTCTAACATCGTTATTGGTCAATGGTCACATTAACGTAACCTGTAGTTTTTTCACTGTGGTTTTGAAATCATCGAACAGACACCGTATTATGGAGTAAATTTCAAAGTTGTTGCCTGAGGTTGACCTTATCTTAGTAAATATCGATTGAAATTCTCATTAACATCCAAGTATAGGTCATTGTGGCATATGTACATCACACTTAATGTCTTAAATCCACAATTACTGTTCCCAGTGTAGTGCAAACACTAAGTATATTAATGGAAGAAAGGTTTGGGGTAATTGGTAAGCTGCGGACTGACAATCGGAACTAATATCTTTATTGAATAGGTCAATGAGGGATAAGTTTCCATCGGTGACTTTTGTCTTTCCGTTTTTGACATGTGAATTTCCAATTATATTAATTCTGCATAAGCGCATACATGTATGTTACTGATAGTTTCTTGACAATTGCAACTGATTTATTTATTTATTTTTTTAAGTTTTTTTTTTTTTTTTTTTTTTTTTTTTTTTACGGTTTCAGAGTCAAGAAGATTCAATGTATTATATATCAGTATTTTATTCCCTTTATAACATTTACTAATTTTTTCTTTTTCCTTTTAAATTTCCTTATGCCTCCTTGTAAGAAAGAGTGACCGTTCTGGTTATTGGTGGAGGGGGACGTGAGCATGCACTTTGCTATGCCTTGCAACGATCACCATCCTGTGATACAGTACTTTGTGCCCCAGGCAATGCTGGGATTGCTAGCTCAGGAAATGCAACTTGCATCTCAGACCTTGATGTTTCTGATGGGGCAGCAGTAATCTCATTCTGCCGGAAAAGGGGAGTGGGACTTGTTGTTGTCGGACCTGAGGCTCCACTTGTTGCAGGTCTTGCAAATGAGTTAGTTAAGGTTGGAATCCCAACTTTTGGTCCATCTGCTGAGGCTGCTGCTTTGGAAGGTTCTAAGAATTTCATGAAGCATTTGTGTGACAAATATGATATTCCAACCGCCAAGGTCTGTCTTATTTTGAATCTCATTAACCAGATCAATGTTTAATCCCTATTCTGCTGGAATGATATTCATTCTTGTTTCCATGTATTGTATTAGTAGCATCTAGGTAAATTTTGTAACAAACTAATTACTAATTAGTCAAAACAGTATGGTGTTGGTTTCTGGGTATGAATTTTTGATAACCTGACAGGGTTTCCTTGATATTGAATATTAGTATTGTCAACTTGGCTCTTGATTGTTCTTCTAATCACGTCAGAATATATTTAAGAAATGATGTTTCTGATATTAGTGAAGTCATAATGTGTGTGCCTCCATTTTCCTTTGACCCTATTTATATCAATTTCACTCTGAACAAATTTCTTTTAGTTTTTATTAATCATGGTTTACCAGTGCAGTATAAAACATTTACCGATCCGTCCGCTGCAAAGCAATATATTCAAGAACAAGGAGCACCAATTGTTATTAAAGCAGATGGACTGGCTGCTGGAAAAGGAGTTACTGTTGCCATGACACTGGAAGAGGCATATGAAGCTGTTGATTCAATGCTGGTGAAGGGTGACTTTGGTTCTGCAGGCTGTCGTGCCATTGTTGAGGAATTTCTAGAAGGAGAAGAAGCATCATTTTTTGCATTGGTTGATGGAGAAAATGCAATTCCACTAGAATCTGCTCAGGATCATAAGCGAGTTGGTGATGGTGACACAGGGCCAAATACTGGTGGTATGGGTGCATATTCCCCGGCTCCTGTATTAACCAAGGAACTTCAATCCATAGTAATGGACTCTATCATCATCCCAACAGTAAAAGGAATGTCAGCGGAAGGTTGTAAGTTTGTTGGGGTTCTATATGCTGGGCTTATGATTGAGAAGAAGTCTGGCATGCCTAAGTTAATTGAGTATAATGTGCGATTTGGTGATCCAGAGTGCCAGGTCAGTTAAGTCATAAGATGCATATTAGAATGAATTTACTTTCTGATGTAAGTAGTTAACCCTTGAAATACAGCAGGCTAGAAATCAGAAGGCATTACTGAAATTACTGCTTTAGGAATTGAACTCATGTCATGGTTTGATATATGCAGCTTTTAATTCAAAAGGCTTACAATTTTTCTTTATAATCCTTTTGTTGATTTGTTCATTTGAAAGATGTATCTAGGGACAGTGATGATATCTGAATTTCTTGCGATGATTGTCCATGTTTTGGGAGGACATTATATTTGTTTAAATTGACTGTCTATATTTCTGCTGATAGACGAATTCTTGACCAACCCTTTCAAAGCCTATTTAGTCATCTTTCTAGTTCATTCACATCATAGATCTTATTTAAGGTAAAGTACATGCATACGCACAATCATCAGTTTATTTACAAAATACAAAATGTACAACCTATGCTAACAACATATAGTCACATTTTTCCTTCTGAAATTTTGAACAGGTCTTAATGGTGCGGTTGGAGTCTGACTTGGTACAAGTTCTGCTCGCAGCATGCAGAGGAGAGTTGAGTGGGGTATCACTGAAGTGGTCTCCTGGGTCTGCCATGGTTGTGGTAATGGCAAGTAAGGGATATCCCGGGTCATACCAGAAGGGAACAGTGATTGAAAACCTTGAAGAAGCTGAGCTTGTTGCTCCAGGTATCAAGATATTTCATGCAGGAACCGCATTTGACTCTGAAGGAAGATTTATTGCAACTGGGGGACGTGTTCTTGGGGTTACTGCCAAGGGAAATGATCTTGAAGAAGCATGTGATCGGGCTTATCGAGCTGTTGAGAATGTTAATTGGCCTGGAGGCTTCTACCGTCGGGATATTGGCTGGAGAGCCCTACCTCAGAAACAATATGCTACAAAGGAATAAGCTACTGAGACTTGGAACGTTAGTAATAGACATGGTCAATGCTCGGTTTACAAGCATTATATAGAGGGGCTTTCTATAGTAGATGAATCTTGTCATTTTTACTTTTCAGGTGTAACAACATCATGAGCCATGCTGGGGGTACTTCGTAAGAGTAAACTATTCACCCGCCCCCATCTCTTAAATTGGTGTATTTTCTTCAATAAAAGAAGTTAACTTCTATATTAAGATGGGTGAAACAAATCCTTCTTCAAAACATTTTTAAGGTTCAAACTTGAATGTGTTTAATATCATCCTTTTAGTGTAATTCCATTGATTCTTTTATTGAGGGGTTGCGTAGTTCAATAAGGCTATAAAAAAAGATAGCGATTGATGACAACAACTGTCAATTTGTTCATCATATCATTCAACAAAATCAACACTGGTAAATTTGTGTAGAGACATGTGATCTTAAAAGGATTAAACACAAAGAAACGACCTTCATCAATGCTTGGAACAACGCAAAATTTACATTAAAAATCTAGATACATATAATCTTCTGCAGTTGATGCAATATACATAACTAGTCTTCAACAACCAAAAATTAATAACTAACAATAAATCACTTAACAGAGTTCAAGGAATCATCACAACAAAAATCTTTGACATACAACCAAAAATTAATAACTAAGGCTAAATCATTTAACAGAATTCAAGAAATCATCACAACAAAATCTTTGACATGACAACCTATATATGATACATCTCTTCCATCTCCCTCAAATCCGATTATGCCATTTAATTTACGGCAATTTTAGAGAGAAAATATATCAGATATATAGTAAATACGAGGTCACGTTTGTGCACCACATTATTGAAGGAAAAAAGTGAAGAGAAGCAGCTAAATTGTCATTCTTCGACAGGAGCAAATGGCACAAAACCCCTTCCACCAAACACAGGTCTCATAAACTTGTCATCAAATTTCCTCCAGAAGTAGTGAACAGTTTTGCTTGGATGACTCATTAGCGTACCTATTCTACTTTGCCTTTGAAATGGCCGATTGTTGTTTTGATTAAGGGGACCAGTGTTTTCAAGCAACAGGAATCTCAAATCTTCTACGTTATCAGTGGAATCAAAACTGGTTGGTTTTGAATGCCTTAGTTGCACAGCCTCTATCAGAGGCTTTGTAATGGAGCCAAATACCTGTTTACATTTTTTGTTTATTTGCAGTGGAAGAAACCATATCAGTACTTTTCGATACTGATGCATGTCATATTATATATAAATAATTGTACATTTTACTATTCAATTATAATCATTCACTGAATTTTATTATCAAAGTCTTTTTCCACACATTTTATCATCATATTTACCATGTATTAAATATGTAATGGCGTGCTAATAAAATGTTAAAAAAAGAAAAATAAATAATGGCATTTTGCAAACATTAGTAACAAAACAATGCTGTTTCATGAAAAACTGTAACAAAACAAAGTCATATTTTAACTTTATTTTTGGCACGCTGTTGTATATTAACGGATCAGTGAAATGTATAAAAACTAAAAATTATAGAAAAAAAATATGAGAAAAAAAATGAGTGATAAAATTCACAAAATAGTAATTGAGTAATATTATAAGAATTTTCATATGTACAGAATATGAAACCCACCACAGTGCTGAATAAGACCACAATTATAGTAGAGGTGATCATAAATGCAGAGTCTTGTGTTGATGTCCTCTTGGCTACTGCAAACTACATTTGAAAGCAACACCAGATGATTTAGTCTCCAGGAATATTCAAACTCCTTTTTTTTTTTTAGTTTTGATCATTGCAGATATTATTTTCTTGTAAAATGATATATATGATTATTTAGCAATGACATGTCAATTTACTACTTTGTAATAGTATTAGCATTAGCAATGTCTAGATGTGCATCATGTCATTATAAAACTATTTTTAAAATTTATAATAATGAAAACCAAAAATAATGAAAGACTGAAACCAAAATTTGCATGGACTAACATATAAACACACATTAAACCTTATATCAGGCACTTGCCTGATTATAAGATAGGGCAATAGTCACTGCACCTCTCATCAGACCAGCCCACCATATGATAAACTGACATTTTTGAATTGTTTAGCAGAAATTCAGTGAGGTCAACTGAAAAGTCAACGTTTGAGGAATTATAAGCCCACAATTATCACCTGTGAACGAAATTCAATTTTTGTACTCTCTCTTGTATTGATTCGATTTTTAATATATGCAATAGGGAACACAAAAGCTGCTCTTCCAATCAACACTAATGCAAACAAAGCTGAACTCACAGCAACTGAAGTTCCTGCACTGCTCCAACAACATGGTAATGTGTTAAGAAAATGACAAATAATAAAGTACAATATTATGTGTTCCTTGATGAAAAACTATGGTTGCATCAATGGTGCTGCAGATCTTGGCTAAAATAATGGTTTTGGGCTCATGCTATACAGTGGAACGCAGACTTTTCTAGTTACCTGCCTTTGCTGCTTTTCCATTTGTCAATGTCTAAAGCATCCATGCCAACACATATAAATATAAAGGTTTCAGAAATGAATGAGAGGGTTGCAAAGGCGTGCCTGAAATAGTGAGAGTATCTTCTAAATTAAGATTCAAACTTGTTTCATTTGTTTAATCAAAATTTATTTATTTTACCTACTTTCTATAGTCAGTTTTGTATTGAAAGAAGCATCAAAACAAAGTTTGGATTGATCAATAATAATCAAAGAAGAGAGGAGAAAATAAAGGTTCAGTAGAATAAAATGGTTTTAGTAAATCTCATAATCACATGTGATTGTTACTGCTTTCATGATTGACTAACATTATATTAATCTTTCCCTTTCAAAAAGAGTTAAAAGATCATGTCCTTACTTGGTGGTTGTCCTTGAGCTTAATGTAACATTGTGCCAAGTGTAGTGTGACATAACAATGCCACAGAAGAAAATAGTCAAAATCCCACTGAGACTCAAAAGCTGCAGAAGCCACACATATGTCTGTATATATATCTTGAATTTCTAAAGTGAATAACTGCATTTATGATACACTTCACCACTGAGTATTTTTTTTCCATTCTGCAGAGAATTTATAACCCTCTTGTACTAGAAACATAACATCTATTCATATCTGTTTCATTGTTTTTACCTTGTCTGTCATAATCAATTCTTTTCAGCCCAGAATTATTTACCGGATAAGTAACATATTGTTCTTGCTATTGTATTTGTCGTAGATCAATTTAAAGTGATAAGTGATAACAAATTAATGGGGATTGATGAAAATTACATATACTTTTGGCATGACACTCATTTTCAACAGATCCTTATGCAAAAGTTTTCAATTTACTCTCAGTATGGATAATTGTTTGATCTTTGCTATTTTTCTTTATTGTTATAATCATTTTTTATAACTGATGTGTACATGTATGGATCAATTAACATGGAGATGTTTTAGTTTAATCAATAGTTTTGAGTCTAAGTATTAAGTACATAACTTTGTTAAAATAAATACTTTTTTTTTGTCGTCATTTATTGTAATCCTACTATGTTAAACCAAAATTAGATGTGACAAAAAAGAGTTAAATATTTTATATTATATTTAAATTCATTTTTCTGAATAGCTTAAAAAATTAAATTTGTTGGTATTGTGTCTAAAGTGTAAATAAGCCAATAAAAATAGTACTTTTTTTATTCAATCAACTTTCAAATATAAGTGGAAACATATATACTAAAGCACTTATGTGTGTATATTTCCTATATTGTTAATTTATTTTTATTTTATTTTGATTTTTCTCTCTCTATTCTTTATAAATATCCACGTTTTTTTTTTCACTTCACACTTTTTTTCTCTTTTTTTTTTTTATATTATCTCTTATTGTATAAATCATAATATATTATACACTTTTTCCCCTCTCTTTAATGACATAAAAAAGAGTTATAAAAGAAAATTCCTTTTATATAAATATAGATTATGACATTATAAAAAAATTAATTATCACATTTCATGTTTTTTCTTAGGGTTCCACGTCACTGTCTTTTTTACTTCTTCCATGTCACGAAAGTTGTCTCTTTTAGGACCAATTTATATAACACAACAACAAAATTTCACTCTCAAGAGTGAATTGTATTAACATTTATTTTCAATTTCACGGTGTTATAAAAAGTTATCAACAAATGATGGCGATAACTTCATAATAATTATGTGTAGTGAATTTTTTTTTTTTTAATATAACAAGGACCATATTGATGATATATTCTAACCCAAGCAAGATTGAAGAAGAAAGTAAAAAAAAAAAAATCTAGTAAGTATTAAAAATGCATTTTGTAGATGATGGTTTTGTACCTCGGCAATCATATATGACAAATATGCCAACAACATCATAAGTGCAAGTTCACGATCAGTAGAATGCCTGCAAATGAAAGACACTAAGTGAGACAGATTGCACAAAGTGCACCAGTCATATATAGTACAAGTCATGTTTGTTAATCTATTTTATAATTCTATAAATCCCAATACTTTCATTAATTTTTCAAATAGATTCATATAATTTAACACTTTAGCAATTGGGTTATTATAAAAGTTTGTAATTGGGTTCTAATTATAAATTACAAACCTTTAAACTAAAGGAATCTATTTGAAAGATTTGTAAACTAGAGGGAGCGAACCCATACCTTCCTAGGTAAAGTGCTTTAATAATATAAGCACTTAAAAGGCCAACCTGAAAAAGTCATCATATATAACATTTCAGAATAGATCTGCGGATCCACTCTCAACAATTAGTAATCTAAAGTTGGATGAAACTTGAATGCTATTTTTTTTTTAACTATGATTGGTGTTATTCTCCAATCAAATATGTATTACAGAAGTGAAACTTCAGTTTTGTTTCAAAGAATACCATCTGACCAAAGTAATTGTATCAAATTTTGTTTGCTCATGATAATGTGGCAGTTAAATCAAGTCCATGCAATGCTTTCATGGAGCAAATATTTCTTCAGAATGATTATTGTTAATGCACATAATGAGACAGGTAACTACATAAAGAGTCTTTTCAAGTCACACTTACTCCTACGCCAAGGGCAGTACTAGTGCAGAAGAGGTAAAGGAAGGTCCCTAACAATTTCAAGGCTGTCATAGAGTTGTTGCTGGTGAAGTCAAGGGATTGGACCGAATTGAAAAGCACAATGGAAGTGGCATCATTTACTACTCCCTCCCCAAATACAATGCTGTAAAGCAAGGGTGTTTCATCTTGATTGAGAACCTTCACCACAAAAATGGAAAAAAGATGTATTAAGAGTTTAATTTCTGTCATTGTAAAATAAAAAGTCAGGGTATGTATGATTTTTAATGTAGTTATTGTGAAAGACCCTTAATTTAATGTTTACTTGCGACTTAACATTAAAAACCTTTACCAGTGTAAAACTATTTTTTTGTATATAAATTTTGAAATACATATTTGTATCTGCATGCACCAATGTTAGAATATACCTGCAATGTACAAACTGAGTCCGTTGCTGACAAAATGGCACCGATGGCTTCACATGCACGAACAGTCATCAGAATAGAAGGACAAGTGCTGATTAGTTTTAGAGATAGAAAGTGAGATTGATCTAAACCAAAAGCTATTTCTCACCAAGGTAATCTTTTATGCCAAGGTTAGCTATTCCAATCCACTGAATGAGCATAAGGGCACCTAGAGAAGTTGGAGAAGAAATTATATAGTCTTTATTATGTTCATTTCATATAAGATTATGTAATTGTCAATGAAAGCAATGCAACTGTTTATCATTTGTATTCAACATAAGGTTCAGTACTTGTTAAATTAAAAACGATTTGAAACTGAAAAGGGTTACCGGATAAAGGAGATCTTACCAACAGATATCAGACAGAATGAAATAACTGTTCCAATGACTCCAAAGAGCAGTATAGTGGTGAAATTCTTGAAGAACTGTTTCTTCTTGACTTGGAAACTAACATGCCATTTAAAATTATACAAAAAATCAAATAATTAATAAATAGACTAATTGATATAGAAATAATAGACAGATAAAGAAAAATTACAATTGATAAGCATACATACCCGGCATTGAAAATGATCGGGGGAAGCAAGTAAAGAAAGAACAAGTCTTCACTGAATATTAAAATCTTGGCACTTTGAAAGTTAGTCACAAACAACACCACCGTTCCAGCACACAACCCCTACAAGATTTTTAACCAAGCCAAGCAAAATGTACCATAATATATTAATATAGAAACTAGAAGCACAAAATTGCATTGGAGAGCAGTAGAAGAATGAGTTGATAGTATACCAGAAGGAGGGCAATGATGGATTCATTAGCCCACCGATTCTCTTCCAGAAGATGGCCAATGATGACACAAGCTCCTAGGAGAGTGAAGAATACACAGAGAGCCACAATGGTGCTTGTGCTGAGATAGGAAGTTGAAAAATGGAGTGGTGGCAGTAACAAAGCCATTATTCTGTGAGGATTCAGATTAAGTATTGTCCTTTCTGACAGTGGTGATGATCACTGAGGTGAGTTACATACAAATTTGGTTCTATAAACCAACATAAATATTAAACACGTTCAAGAGTTTCGGGAAGTGATATAAATGTTATTATGTCACAACGTGGAGGATAGCACATATTAGCAGGTAATGTTGAGAAGTGACAACAAACTGCAAGTCATGTTTTTTGTCTTTATTTTTTTAAACTATTTCTGAATATTAAGAGAAACCTAACATTCAGGCACTGATCTGACTTGCTGTTTGTATTTCCTTTTGTCAATTCACCTTACTCACACTATTTGCTAAGCTAGTTCTTCTCTCTTATTATGCCATCCGATGCAAAACGGTATCATTAGTGTTAGTGACGTTTGTTGAAAGAGGTCATAATTAAGTATGTTAGTTCCAACTTTTGAGTCCATTATCAGAACAGAACCAATAAAAACAATTTTTATAACCTTTTTCATCTTCACAATGGGTCCTGTGATGAGCATAATTGCCTTTTAAAGTGGAATTCTTTAGCATTGATTTTGGATAAAATCAATTGAACCTAGGACTCAAGTTTGTTTCTTTAACACGCCACAAACAATTTTGTTCTACCAACTAAACTACGATTCAAAGTGGGTACATTTGGTTCTCCAAAACACACTTTCTTAGACATTTTTACAACCACATAAAAAAAGTCACCGCGAGTGATACGAAAGTTGCTGGTAAAATACAAAGAGGCTCAACATTAATTCTTCTAATCTACTTTTCAAAATATCATACCCAAACATAAATACATTATTTTTTTAAATCAATCCAACTCAATTCTACTGATAGACGCATCTTATAAATTTTATTTCTTTTATAATGATCACCTTGAGACTAGAACGAATGATCTTATGCCTATTATCAAAATCTCCTTCATTAGATCAATTGTAGTGATTTATTATTTTAAATTAATCTTTATACTAATAAATATCCGAATATCACGATATTTAAATAAATTATAACTTTTTATTATGTCTGTTTTAACTCAAGAATTTTTAAAATATTGGTTCTCAATTAATTTAAGATTTGATAATTTATGCTAATTTTATTTATTATATATAGTGCCTGATATATATTTTTGAAAAGTTGTGGTGTATCTCTAAGTTCATGTTATATCAGTATGATATCATATTTGTCTTGTGTCGCATCTGTGCTTTCTAAATCTTGGTGCTTTGCTAAAATAAGAGATTAGGCAACTGAAAAATACTGGTTCACGTGACCAAACAACTAGTTCAGTTCAAAAAAGTAGTCAATGGACTAAACCGAGTATTCATCAATATTATCTTAGTCTGGTTGGTTACTCTTTATTGAATATTATCTATCCCTTGAAGTCTACTGATATAACTCAAAATTTCCGTTCATATAAAGGGCTTGATACACATGAGCAAATGAAAGAATAAAAAGAGTGACAGAAATAACTTGGTACACTTATCATTTAGAGACCATAGAGTGAGAACCATACCTTAGTAACTAAAAAAATGCATTTTATCCCATTAAATGTTACTAGATAAAAATTCAGAAATCAGTAAAAACGGTAGCTTCATAACATTCAACAGAATATTAATATAATGTTCAATGCTTTATTAACTTCTTTTCAGCATTGACAGACAGCTGAGAGCGCCCACGATCATAAGGTTTATGCAATCGTGCAGGCGACAGTAGAGAACTAAAACATTAGTATGGAAGGGAAGCTAGAAATGATTAGACATTTATCAAATCAATGGCCTACGTAGCCAGTTTTGACTTAAATTAACAGATAAATAGTACACTACATTAAAATATTAAAAACCATACCACTTTAGTGTTGGAATTATGAATTGACATACCCAGCTAAAAAAATTCAGTATATGGCTACAGAATTTTTAATGATATTGCAGCAGAACGAAGTTTTACACCATCCCTGTCCCACTTTGACTGTGGTGCAGTTGCTCCAGCTATAAAAGCCTACAGCATGAATATAAGGACCAGGTATCTTACTTTTCTGTAATTTATGTTGGGGAAAATATAAAGTGATTGATGTGTATCAACACAAAAAAAAAGAAAAAAATGGTCCAGGTCTTGGATTCGCCACAATGGGTTAGTTATATCAGTAAAATGGATGAATCAACAAACCTTTCCATTGCTGACACCTGTCATCATTGCTACGTGTTGATCATCTTTACCAAATTCATAGAAATAGTAAGTCCTGGAATTGTAAAAGCCAATAATATTGCATTGGAATTTGATGCAATAGAAAAACTCAATATTATAAAGAGACACAGATTAATAGGGTTGGTTGGTTCAACATGAAATAACAATGGTTTAAAAACTTAATTCACACGTCCAGAATTTTCTACTCTAGAATTTTGAGTATCCAATCAAACATTGAGAGAAAAGGGTATCAATGCTGTTTACTTTTAGCCATTCTGTTCTTAAGACAACTGCTGTTTTTTTTTTTTTTTTTTACTAACAATAAAAATTTATGTATTTTGTCCTCCAAAAGGAGAAAAGCTTTGGCCATACAGTTTCAGCCAGTTGAAAATTAACTTACGTAAAATCCTCGTCTTCCTTTATTTTTATTGATCTTGCAGAGTAAAGTTTTGACCCTCCTGCATGCACATCATGGGAAGAATGAAATACTAAAACAAAGAACTATGAGTAAACAGAAAGAGTGATGAAGCATGTCATATCATTTAAATGAGTAAATGTCGGATATAACAATCTACAACATAAAGATAAACTTAATAAAATAACTTCTTTCTGAACCTACAGAAACATGCAAGTGTATAAACAAATTATACCTGGAACAAATATTTTTGCTGCGTCCTTCAGGGAACCTAAATCACTTATATTCTGAGCCTGCTCTAATCAGTGAAAAAATACGTAAGTTCCTTGAGGAGTTCACATCAAGAATAAAAAACAGGACTAGATATAATCTCAGTTACAGTGACTTCTCATAACATAGGGACAAAAATCTGATGGCTGATATAATGTACATATGTTCTCCCCGGACAAACACATTAAGGGGAGCTTATAGTTGAAATGGTGACGAAGTAAAGTGATTATGAACTATAAGGATTAGATAAGTTTCTCCATCCTTTATGAAATTATCTCCAGGAGCAGAAGGTTCCTATTTATAGCGCAAGTTCATGAAAAGGGTGCAATAGGAAAGAGCCAAATGCTAACTAAACATTGAACTATAAAGGAACCAAAAGGAAAACAATTGGGAGATATAGAAAAGATGCAATACAGAATCTAAAGGCCAAGCCGGTGCAGGCTCATCATATTGACTTAGAAAAGGGTTTCTGATGTACAAATAGCAAATACCTCGCTTTTCTGTTACTAATTACTCAACCATAGTGAAAATTTTGTGCCTTAATGATATAATTTGGGGGATAAGTGTGCATGGGTATGATAAAATGTCATTGACAGTCTGATTACCTGTAAGAAGGTGATTTTAAGTCGATTGGTTGGACGAGTAACAACACTTAGAATCTCAGAGCTGTTTCAATCACAGAAAACATCAGCATGTTCCTTCTAAAAATACACAAGTGCATTGCAAAAAAATGTGAAATTGTTGGGAGTTCAATATAAAATTACCCATCGGAAGATGCAAACCGTGCTGAAAATGTTTTTGCTTTTGCCTTGTCCCCATAAAGAGACTCTCCAGCATTGAAATCCTACAAGTGAAGTTTTGAACTCTTTCAATGTTATTGTTAACATGCAAGTTCTGGAAAATGAATATTATTGTGATGCATTACGCTGATCAATCAGCTATTTATAGTTGTACAATTTCAATTCAACTAATAAGACTAACTAATTCAACATAAAAATGAATTAACTAACTGAGAACTGGATTCAGCTGAGTTAAACAAACCTCCCATTACTAAAACCTATAGACACCTTCAAGATTCTATTTACACATTTTACAATCATTTTTCAATTGTAAATTTCTATAGGAAGAAATTGACCACTAAAAAATTAATTTGCTTTATTCAGTAATTTAGAACATTACAATTTAAAATTGAGAGAGAAAAGTAGTTAAGAGCGCACCTCAGGTTCCATGATATCTTTAAACTCTGGCGGGACTCGAATGGCAAACCCATCACCGAAGAACTGAAACCAAGATGTCGTGTTTTCAATGCCAGAAAGAAGCGATTTGGACGGCAACGCTTGAGTTGACGATTCCGCAACTGAGACTCTAGGACTTAGGCCAATGCCAACGCTGACGAGAGAAGTTTGAAGGATGAGTTTCCGTTTGGAAGTGAGGTTCTTGGCCCCACAAATTATGGGTTTTGAGGTGAAAGAGAAGATGGGTTTGGTGTTGTTAGTGATACAGAGATTGGATAAAAAAATGGCCATGAAAGAAAGTTCATGGAGACAGTTATCGTTAGTTTCAGCCAAAATAAATTGACTTTGAAATGTACCCAATTCAAGGGTACATGAATCATTGTAATAAGTAACTTTTTTTTAAGAACATTATCTTCACAGAGAAACAATCATGGTCAGATAAAAATTACAGCTTAAGCTTAAACACTGTTTCAAGAATACAGTTTTGGTAACAAATGCTCAAAATAACTAGTTAATCAGAGCAAACCCACGTTAAGTTTGTTTGGTGTAGTATATTTTATTTATGAATCAGGGAAGATAACATATAAAAATTTAAAATAAGCTTATTTATTTATTTACAAATGCAGGCTCGCTAGGGGGAAAATGAAAAGAAAAATGAACATTTGTAGTTTCTGTGGACCAAAAGATCCACATGGCTAATAGACGTTATCCACTTTCAAACACTGCCAACCAATGGAGACCACCCGAAATCTCAACCAAATCAGAGGACAAGGAGTGATGTGGAAGAGAAGAAGCAGCCTTCTGCAATTGAATCCTTGCTGATCCTCGTCATGGGAGCCATTTTTCCTCCTCACTCTCTCTCTCCACTCCTCAACATCAAACCATCACCCTCTAGAATCCTCTTGGCTCCCTCCCCCCAACCCAAGTCAAGTTCTCTCTTTTCCTCCAAACCCATTGTTTCCAGCCTTAGAAAGAACCAAACTTCATCTCCCAAACCTTCATGCACAACCTGGTTGGCTCATGCTCAACAGGGCCTAGCAGCTTTGGCTATCTCCTTGGCCCTCAACTTTAGCCCAGTTTTGTTAAGTGGCAATGCATTGGCATCCGAGTTTGATGTGCTTAACGAGGTTCCACCCAAAGATTCTTATGTGGTTGATGATGCAGGAGTGCTTAGTAGGGTGACCAGGTCTGATTTGAAGCAGTTATTGTCTGATTTGGAGTCAAGGAAGAACTTTCACATCAATTTTATCACTGTTAGAAAACTCACGGTTAGTTACACAACTATGTGGTTAAATAATTTAACTGTCTTTCATATGTTTCCGCATGATGTTCTGTGAAGAAGAATTTGGCTTGTCGTGCAACTTTGTCCATGTTCTTTGCCATGCAACTAAAATGGAGCATGAAAGGACCAAAGAAAATGCTAAATGAAATGTTTATTGCATAAATGTGGCTGGTAACAGAGCAAAGCTGATGCTTTTGAGTATGCTGACCAAGTCTTGGAGCGTTGGTATCCTTCTCTAGAAGAAGGCAACAACAAGGGTATTGTGGTTCTTGTCACCAGTCAGAAAGAAGGAGCAGTCACTGGTGGTCCAGCTTTTGTCCAAGCTGTGGGAGAAAAAATCCTTGATGCCACTGTCTCAGAGAACCTTCCAGGTATTTGCATGTTTGCATTATTTACTAGAGATTAATTGTCAAACACAAAGATTTTATTCTATCAAACATTTAGAAATCATCCTATATATGACTTTCAAAGATATTATTACAAAAATTAACAATCTTACCATATAAAGACGATCTATAATTGAAGTACTCTTAATTTGTCTGTTATAAACATAAATTCTTAATTTGGTCTCATGTTTTGGGATCAAATTAAGAATGTGTTATTGATATCTTGTGATGCCATTCGGCACGATCAATACTTCTACAATCTTCATGAACTACATGGACCAGATTTTTCATCAATAACTCAGACAAGTTCATTATCATCATTGGTGATATATTAATATATTCCAAAAGTCACGAGGAACATGCGAAATACCTGAGGATCATGTTGCACACACTGAAAGAAAGGCAGTTGTTTCCAAACTCTCAAAATGTGAGTTTTGACTTGAGCAAGTTTTTTCCTAGAAAAAGGGTGTCGAAGAAGGCAATTATTGTTGTGGATCTCTCCATAGCTGAAGTCGTGATGCAGTGGACCAACCTCAGTAACAGATACAAAGCATCTTAGGATTGGAAGATGCGAAGTCTTCAACAATCACAAAAACTTGAAGTACCAGAAGGAAGTGAATATGTGACGATGAAGGTGGATGGAATTTGTCAAAAATCATGTTTTCAATTTCTCAAAGACTTCGATTTCGAATTATCAACTATCACCCAAGACCAACGTAGTTAGGCACCAAATTAAGAATACATTACATGTACAAAGAACAAATTAATAATATGTAAGGGGTGCACCGTGGCACGCTGGTAATGTTTACATGTGTAAAGACCAATTTAGTAACTTTTTTCTATGGACGAGATTTAGAAATCAGACATATATAACGATTAAATTATATGTTCATCCATTTACATGGGAATGCATTCTGATTAAAATCTATATGTAAAACTACCTATTTGTGGTTTCTATATGCAGTTTTGGCTACGGATGAGAAGTACAATGAAGCTATATTTAGCACTGCTAAACGTCTAGTTGCTGCCATTGATGGTCTTCCAGATCCTGGTGGGCCTACATTCAAAGACAACAAACGTGAGTCTAACTTCAAAACCAAGGAAGAGACAGAAGAGAAGCGTGGACAATTCACTCTTGTAGTTGGAGGTTTGTTGGTCATTGCATTCGTTGTTCCTATGGCACAATACTATGCTTATGTATCCAAAAAGTAAAATTATAAAAGTAGACCTGTCGCAAGTTCTAACTCTTCAAATTCAGATGTATAATGTGCAGTTGTAACCATGCTCATCTTACAATTGAGTTTGGGAAGGCTGAAGAATAAGATGAGAGTTTTTTCATGTAAATGGAATTCCAAAGTATATGCATTTGACTATGTTATTTTCCAGTTGGGTTCTTAAAGCCTTGTAGAACGAGTTCTAGTTCTCCGCTTCTCTTCCATTATATAACTCTTGCCGAAGTGTCTTTTTTAGTTGTCCCCTTATAGAAGATCATTTGTAGAAATTCTCTCATATTTGTTTTTCTAGAAGCTACATTTTAAGAAGTTTATCGAAACAAGCTTATATCACTTTTATAAATTCAGTTACACTCTTTCAAATTTTAGTTTTAGTTGTATGATAAGTCCTCCATATCTCAACTGCCCACATTCAGAAAGTGAGTTGATTTGATGATTTGATCTTGAATCATGTTCTTTTGTAAGATCATGACTGTCATTCATGGTTACATTCAGCCATTCGTTCACTACAACAGCACATAAGAATGAACTTGTTAAAACAATAAACAGAGAGGGGTTTAGAACTTGAGCTAGAGAAGGAAGGGCGTTCTGTCTCCCAAGAGAGTATTGGAGTAGTTTCCAGTGAGAATTTGTGATGCCACATGTTGATTTGCTGCCTCTGTGTAATGAGTTCCGTCCCAGTTAACATACACACTGCTGTCGTTGCAACTTTTTGCTGTTAATGCAGTCCCGTTCAAGATCTTTGTTAGTCCACAAGAAACTCGGCTGTCAAAGTTCAACGGTGGACCTCCGTATCCACAACAAGCCATAATGGGTTGTTTAAACCCTGCAAATATATATTAACAGAAATTTAATTGTGTTTGCCCCCAACAAATATACTTGTGTTAGAAATGAAATTATGATGCCATGTTGACCTATCCTGATCCCTATATTCACCAGACTAGGACACACTTCCAGCATTTTAATGATTTTAAATGAATAAGATAACTGGAAAATTTTGCTGCAATCGCAATTGCAATGCACTGAATTCCCATCACGAGGTGTATGTGCTAGTCGTTCTTTTATAATCTGCCATTGACAATCATGTCAAGCTGATGAGTAATGAAAGTACTCTAGGAAGTGCAAAACAGAAGTTACTATACCACATGACATGACCACAACAAAGAATGTGGTGAAATTAATAGTAAAGTGGAATTTAGATGAGGCAACAAATAAATTTAAGTTACACTCACCATATTTAGAATAGTTTGCAATGAGGTTTGATTTTATGGTAAAGATGTCAACATGTGTTACATTTGCATCTGGATACTGGTCTTTCAATTTACTACAAAAGGCTTGAAGCTGTGTATTAAAGGCTTTGGCAGCTTGGTTGTGTGAACTAACACATCCTAGTTCATCAAGCTTTGATGGATTAGTGCCAAATTTGGCAACAACCTGAGGCAAGCATCCTAGTGGACCCGTGTTATGTATCCAGAAATTCCTTGCTCCGTGATCATACAGCTTCTACCTCACAAATCACAGAGCGAATGCTAAGTTTAGTATAACTATTTTTATGGAAGTGATGAAATGAAACTTTAGGAAAAATAATGTTACCAACCTTTATTCCAGTTTCAAATTCCGATAAAACTGTTTGAACTGAGGCAAGTATTTGGTCCAATGTTTTGGAATAAAACGCACCAGCAAGATCGTTCTGGCCTATGTCAAACATGTATAACCCCTTCTCAAAGGAGTTTTCAGATGGGACGTACTGATCAAATTTCTTTCCTGAAACATTATTGTGATAACTTTCCTTGAAATGAATAAGATAAACAGCAAACTATATTGTGAAACCAAAGTAGTAAGAAGATAGCTGATTAGTTGATCATATACCTTGAAGCAATTGAAGAGACAGAGATCTGAATCTCAGAAACTGAGATACCTGAACCCCAAAGCTGAACGGGCTGATGGATGCTGCAGTGGCTGGAAGAATGGTTGAACCTGCTGGTGCAAAGTTGCATCCTCGCTGAAAATTTGGCAATCCCACAGAATCCATGTAGGCATTTAAGAATGGCAATTTCATCGCATCCACTGCAATGAAAAGCCATTAACAGATGGAACTATCATGTCAATGCATATAGTGGTGGTGGACATGGCTATATGTTCACAATTGCATGTATGATTTTCAAGCCTTCAGAGTTGTATATGCATAGTTACCTCGCATGTGTAACATTATATGGTTTGTCTAGTAAGTCTGTCATGGTAGTGAACCATTGTTCTATTCAATAATTAAGTTAATCCAACCACTAATCTTAAATTTATCAATGAGAACCATTGAAAGTAACACGACCTCTCCAAGAAAATGAATTTACATGATGGATTGACTGATTATAGATCTTCTTCTGATCGAATTAGCTAGCACTCATATCTTTCAGGCTTAAAGTTTGAGGATGAAAAAGGAGAGGTGCGTTTCTAATCCTCAAACCTATCACAGTGATTTCTAGAAACACACTCAATAACTAGATATGTGACTCCCCTTGGTCATGCTTATGTGAGGTTACTGAGATTTCTCGAGTTCCAAACTAACTTCAGGACTCCTTAGTGTTATCTCTCATATGAATACATTAGATGCAAAGTCCTAAATTTTAAAGGAATAGTAAAAGGTGAAATGAATGTGAGTATTGAGAGTCATCAAGATTCCTGATTAATGTTTGCAGTAAGTATGTGACAATTTCATGAAAGATTAGAACCTTACTCAGGAAGTCAACAATAAGACGTCCATCACAGAACCTCCCAGATGGGGTTTTGAAGTAATTTTGTCCATTAGGTGGGGAAACTAGAAATCCCATAGCTGCAGCAAGTTCACCTGTGTCTGAGTTTGAATCACCAAAGTTGAAAACTGCAGGGTAACTGAAATCAACCGAATTTGCCGCAGCCAAACATATGCAGAATGTAACAACTTGAAAAGTAACAACATTCTTAGAATCCATGGCAACTCTCACTTTATGTCTGCCAAATACCAATGACTGTAGTAGAAGAATACCAATTATAGCTACTTTTTATGCATGCTTGTGCATTGCATTGCACACCTGTTGGCATAAAAACAGATAAGAAAAAACATAAACACCTGATACCTCGAGTTTGAACACTGTCCTTAAATACTTATTTACAGATTTTCACGGAAATCTCCCATAATATAAGAAGAACTTCTCATTAGAAGCTAAGGAGGGAGAGATGTTGTTTTTGGAATGTAAAAATCTTCTACAATATATAGAGTAAAATTAGGGTACAACCAAATTAATATAATTTAAGTGTATCAATCACCGCAATTAAAATAAGATGAGCAGAAAATAAAAACGATTTAACCAGGATTAATACATTTAAATGTATTAAATTTGCGCATTTAAAATTGGTTTCTGAAAAGGTTGAAATGGTATTGAATTCAAATAACTTTGTATAATTAAATCTATTAGCTTGCTTAGTATAATAAGAAAGAAACTGAATCCAAAAGGAAACTGTTCCTTTTGCTTTGCATTACAATGTTCTTGCAAACTTATCCTTATGCTTTTCAAGGAAGTTATTGCATTATTCAAAGACTATTCCACAAGTTAAGAGATGGTTTATCTTGCATTAGAATGAATGAAAGTTAATTGTCTTAACTTCTATTGCTTTGTTCCCCGTGAACCTTAGCACATAGCAATGAAAACTGTGTCCATCAAAGAGTGAAAAGACAGATGCATCAACATTAACAAAGCCCACTGTTCTCGGTCTGTGTTACATACATTGAACATATTGATATGCTTTTATTGATTGATTGTGTCGGGGCTTCCCGTGAGCAATAATGTGCCAAATCTGCAGCAAAAAATGGATTCCTGATCTTGTTATCAGATTCTTTTGAAGAGAAAACAATGAGTATTGTCATGTGCCAATGTTAATGACACAAGTTAACTTAAAAAATTAACAGCATGAAAGAAATAATTTACTGAATGGTCTTTTACCGTGGATTTCAAATCCTCAAAATGAAATGAATTAACTGGATATGGACCTGCACTTCTAATATCAATAAATAAAGATATCGAGAAGCACGATAGATAATAAGAACAAGAGTAGTTTATAAATTAATCATAAATGGAGCATCTTACATCTATCCATTAACGTGACTATATGATTACTTTGAAGAATTAATAAAAGGATTGGATCTCACGTGAAGGATGACCATAGTCATCTATATTCTACTCAAAATCTAAGAGTGGTCAAGACTCAAGACAGAACCAGAAAATCAACACGTCATAAATGCAACTTGACTGGCTCATCTTTATCTAATCTAAAATGATTTTCTGGAAAAAGGAAAAATATGTTAGACATTCATTTGAGAAACCAAAGCAAGTAACATTGGCTCTTAGTAGAAGAAGAAAGGAGCATAATATGTTGTAAAAACATGAAAAATTGACATTAATACGAACAAATAATTAAAAATGATTTTAGTTTAAGTGTAAATATAAACTAAATTCTTATTTATCAACAAATTAAATCAAAACATATAGAAAAACTGCATCAAGAAACCCAAACCTAAAATTCCCCCAAATTGGAACCCATGCGGCTAACAAATAATAATATGAAATTATCAAATTATTTAAACTTTTTTCATTTTTCATGATAAAAAAAAGTCTCAATAAATTATATATTATAAAGTTTTCATATTTTTAGTTGATGTAAAATTTTATTATATTATAAATAGATTTACCTATTTTAATTTTACAAAATCAGATCAATAGATCTTTGATCTGTAATATCATATTTCATTAGATCTTTGATCTAAAATAAGTTTTTTACCCTTACATAATGAATTTTTTGAAATAACTTTAAATTCATTCTAGAATAATTTTTTTGTGAAGGTGTTAAGGGTGTTAGAATTGTTAGATTCATCATTACAAAAGATTCTGGGATCTGGGATAAAATAAAATTGATTATGGATTGGTGTTTGGAACGATATTGAATTTGTTTAGTGTGCAGAAATTTAAATAAAGCATAGGGGACAACTTGGTCTTGGGTTGGGTGTGCAGGGGAAATAGCCTCTCTTAAGATGATCTGGAGAGGCCCAAACCGAGGATGAATGGGCCTGCAGTTTTACTGGCCCACTTGATTGCACCTCTAAGTTAATTACAAGTTTCTAATTTTATTTTTTTTCTAATGAAGAAGGCTTAAACCCTTGAAAAACCAGAAACCTGTGTCGTGGTTCAGTCTTGCATCGATTGTTCATCTATTATCAAAGGTGTAATTGTAACTGTAATGTTTCTGAATCCATGTTGAAGATGATGACGCCGTTCAAGCGCTTGCATTTAGTTCGCACATTCTATCGTTCATCTCAAATCGGAGAATCTTCGTCGTATCTGTGAGTAACAGTATTACTTTCATAGCGTTCACACAATATGCATCTTCTCCACAAACCGTAGTTTGAAATGCACGTCATTTTGCATTTTTCATTTCCTTTCTATCAAGTCGGTGTGCTTTTGAATTTTCAGGCTCGGAAGCTGCAAGAGTTATTCCTCTGCTCTATCAAATGGTAATTTACTTTAACCTCTTTTGTTGCTTCATTTCTTTGCGAAATGCCGTGAGATTAATGTGGTGTTAGGAATCAGATGTTCAATAATTCACAACTGAGAAAAGAGAAATAAAACCTGCAAATGGAAATAATAAAATTTTACTATTACCTCTCTTTAAGAAAACCCTAAACAATAGTATCCTCTCTAACAAATAAGATACACTAGAGAAAAAAAAGAGAAAAAAAAAGGAAGCAATATATAATTTTCTCGGGACTTCTCTTTTAACATTCTTCCACTTGAAACTTTTATTAAATTTTAATGAAGAAATTTTTTATCAGGTTCTGAAGGTAATTTCGGGAGCTTCCATCCTCATTTGTTAAAGGGCCAAGATGGCTTTCCCTTTACTGGTGTAAAATCTTTGACACTTCGATCTACAATGGTAAATATGCTTGAACATTTTAATCTATCAAGACCATGATTTTAGGAATTTGAATTCCTAGCTTTCATGTGTCTTTTTTTTATGTTTCTCTCAGGCTGCTGAGTTGTCCATTTTCATGAACGATAAGAGAATGGTAACTACTCAAGTCAAAGCCCCAGCACAAGCGCGACAAGTGGTATCTCTCTTAAGTTTTTTTTTTTTTTTTTTATGACGCTCTAGTGTTTTTCTGCTGTTCTTCATGGTAATAGTACATACAATATGTGTTGTATTTAATATATACTTCTTGTATTGTTTCCTATATCTTTTGAGTTGCAGTCTTACAGAACTGTTTGTGGTGCTTTCATTGACTTGTTACTATCTCTGTCTCATTTATGCACTTCTCGTATGCTGGATTATATATCCTTTTATTTGACTATTGGAATTGAATTACTGGATTTATATATCCGTTCTATGAAGACATTACCAATTGAAGCAAACAGGTTCTTCAAACAACAATTTTTTTTCTACTCTTCAATGAGATGGTGAGTGGAACCTAGGACATGCAGTTTATGGCTACATATAATCCATTAAAAAGACTTTGATCATTCATAAATTTAGAGTATTTTCATTAAGATTCAAAGCATATTAGCATTTCAATTGACAGACCAAATCTCCCATCATTTTAAATCTTGGATATGCAACATGTAAGTACATGCGTCTCATCTAGGTCTTGTTCTCTGAAACAGCCACTAAGAGAGTTGATGATTAGATGAATTTCAGGCTATCCTCTTATTTGAATTTGAGCATTTATCTACAGTTTGAAAGGATAACGCAAATTAATTTGATCTATAATGGCTCTGTTATCATTTAGAGATTGTTTGATTTCGATTTTTAGTTTTTAAAGATAAAGGAACAGATAAAAACATGTTTGGTTAGTGTTTTCTTACCTGATGTTTAAAAACTATCCGCAAAGTTCAATTTTGAATTCTAAAAGACAGAAACAGCAAAAAGATGTATCCTTACCAGTTTCCATATAAACATGATCACACAACATCAATGAAAAGTAGGCCATTCATCGATGGACCTTAGACCTCACCAATTTCCAAAACTTTAGAAGTTGTCCTGCGAGGAAAAATTTTCATTCATTCTGTTTTCAAAAATTTTCTTAAACAAATTTCCAAGCAGTTTTAAGAACAAGTGTTAAAAATTGAAAACAAAAACAGATGTCAAACAAGGCATTAACTTGCAGATCAGGCTATAATTGTGATGCTTTGCTCTCATATCATTAATGCAGGGTCAACAAATATCCCTATCAAGTCCCGGATTTATCTATGAACCTTATGAACCTCGTGAAAAAATCCCATTTTGGAAGAGGTTAGATCGCAGTTTTATCACAAAAGGATTTTTGTTACTCATACATACATACATACATACATTCATATATATAATAACAAAATTTATAATTTGCATAACTATTTGTGGGTTTATTTTAACATTTAGAATTGTTTATGCCTTTTTCAAGTCATTTTCTTTCACCAATTAGATATGCCTTGCATGTATTGCATTACATTTCCTTATAAACTATTGTAATTATTTATAATGATCTTATGTATAATTTCTCTGATATTTGATTTATTAGATGGTTCACGAGAAATGGTTGGAGAAGAACAAAACATGACATCATTCTTGAGGTGATTATATATATAACTTATTTTAATTTCGGTTTTGCATTATTCCCACAAATTTAGAGAATATAGAGCCAAGGTATATCAATGTAACCATTGATCCAAATTGTTCTTTTCATTCTCTCTTTTATTTACCCTCGATCTTTGAGAATCACAGCAGATTGTTGCATTCGTTTAAGGAGGGATTATTTTCCTCTCTTTGATGTTCATTCTTCCCTTTATCTCCTAAATATTCTCTTTTATAAGAGATTGAAAGGAAAAAGAAAATTAAAATCACTGAATGTATTGACCATGGACCCTTTTGTTTTAATGGAGGCTATCAATAACCTTAATCAAGCTTTGTTTTTTACTCTGTTGCAGCTCAAAAGTGCCTATGCTATTTCTAAGTTAAGAAAAAAGGGATATTCAAAAAATCAGTTCTACAATGAGGCAGTCAATATGTACAAGGAGGTTTGCTCTCTAGCCTTAACTAATTTTTGTTTTTTCAAGTCACCGTGACAATATCAAACAACAACCTACCAACAAAGTCTTTCTCCATTTGGTGGTGGTATCTGCTAAATGAATCAAACAACGTGATTTTTTTTTCTGTCTCACAACTCATTCTGCTATTGGATAATGATCTTTTACTGATTGTCTGTTAGTTGTCTAAGCCACACAGCACTTCAGTACAACTAAAAGAAATTAAGAGAAGGAAAAAATATTGCATTAATTCCACTTTTGGTCTAGTTCCATTTTTAACAATATCAATCGTATTTTTCAGATTTCAAATTGATATAAATAAATAAAGTCAGTTTTCCATGTGCATCATTACTTCTACTGTCAGCAAAGATAGTGCCACTCCACATTTGTAAAACTGGCTGGCATCCCAACATCTTTGCTTTCGGGGCTCATCTTTGCCAGTGTTGCACAGTATCTCTAGATCCTCTACTGACATGGGGATGACGTGATTCAGTTCCAAATCATCAAGACTGCCATAGGATATATATCTACTTGACATAAAATAGAGAGATCTATTTATAATTAATTTAATTTGATACAAGTGTTTAAATTTGTAAAAATGATGAGTTTGTTGCTCGGAACATGCAGTCTGTATTTAAATTTGAAATCTGTTTTGGTTCTTGAGTTACTATTATGATGATTTCAAATCCGTATGTACTTGACTTTCTCATCAGTTTAATTGAACAGATTGTCTGCCCGGTAAAGCAGATATATAAAAATGTCATTTGACGTTTTTCTTAAGAAATATATTCACTTCATTTATTTTGTGGAAACGCCACACCTTCTGAATGCTAAAATTGGATGCATGCAGTTTCTTTATAGAATGTAGGTGCATGATTGATATAATTTAATATATTGGGAGAGTATATTGTTGGAAAGATTTGAAGGGAGACCATTTTGGAGTGATACAGACACTTTAGATAGCATTCAGGAGAATCAATTTAAACAAATGCCTTGAAGAAATTAAGTACTAAAGACATATTGTGTCGCCTTTGTTCATGTTTTGAACTTTTACCAACTAGAACAATTTATAATCCCATTTCTTGGTTGTAATGTGTTTTGTTCTGTTGAATTTCTTTTCCTCTATGATTACAGTAAGGATATCTTGCTTGCCCCAATGCTGATTTTTTTTATCTTTTTCCAGATAAACACTCTAATAGCTAATGGTGACAGAAGATCATTACGGAAATCAGTTACCGAGAAGATGTTTTCTGTATGCTTCAGTTCCTTTATGTGATTTTATTAGTGAATTGATCTACAATGCAAATTTGTACATTTTTGCATTATAATTTCTAAAGGGAATATAATTTAGTTTATGTGATCTTGTGTTTCATTTTATTGTCCAAGGTTCTTAAGAATGAAATTAAACAAAGAGAATCTGCATGGAGCAATGTATATTGGGAAATGGTGGAGCCTGTTGTTAAGGTTCGAACTTTGCGGGCACGCCTGGTTAGTATGCTTCTGCACTGTGTTTAAATTCTGGTCGTTATGTGGCAAGACAACTCGCAATGTAGCACAAATATGAAACAAGAGAAAGAACATGCCTTTACTGGAATTGAATCACATCAAAGAGCTCACGTGTAAACTTGCTAACATGGAACCATCACTCATCAAAATATGGTCCCATTGGATCAAGTAAACTATCATTTGGTTTGGTTGGTTGTATTGCTGGAGGTGTTCTGACCATTTTACAAGTGAAAACTTTGAAGTTAATTCCTTCTTGTTTATTTGTATCTTAATAAAGTTTCTCTGAACATCTCCCTGGAGTTACTGGTTATGTCTTGTAGGCACCATGAACACAAAACTTAATTTGAAGTGTTTAAGCTAGTTTCTGCTCTATAAATCTTTTCCGGGGATTAAATAGTTGTATATGATTGATATTTTCTTGCTTGAAGTATGATGACAAATCTAGAAGTGCTAATCAACCATACCTGTCCTAACCTACTAGCTTTATGCACATGTGCAGATTATATATGTTGCTGAATTGTACTGTTCCTCTCTGTCACACATGTGTGCACATATGTTGAAATCAGTGTTTTACTTTTCAATATGATGATTTCTTTTATTGCTGACTTTCTTTTCAATTGCAGATTGGTGTTGATCGGAAAGACATGAATAAAACATTTATTCAGCTTACTCTTGAGATTTTGGCTAAACAGGTATGCTTTACATTAAAATTAGTCCAATCCCGGAGAACTTATGCCATCCACGGTTTCATGAGTAATAGGACTTTCGACAAATCAGCACAGTGAATGAATGTTATATTAATTGCAGAAATTTGAAGCATATGACTCAAAAGGCTCTGTGGTAGCTGGAGATAAAAGCGAGGAGGTAATGATGCTTGCTCGTTATTGTTTTCAAAAACTGTTTTTTGTTTTTTCCAATCTGTTTTGCTCTTAAAACGTGTAAGAGTGATTGTCCCATGAACATATTTTTGTTTTTGTCTACCGGCAGTGACGGATCTTGAACATTGATCTTGGAGGGGCCAAATAATATATTATTAATATATAATAAAAAGAAAAAAGAATATGAAAGGTTGAAAAAATAAAATTGTAGATATATACTTAAATATATTAAATGATAATTAAGTTTGAGGGAAACAAAATCATAAATTATATGAGAGTTACAAAATTGAGGAGGGGCTGAGAGGATAAAATTGTAAATATACAAGTAAATATATTAAATGCTCAATATGTTTGGGGGGGGCCAAAATCATAAATTACATGGGAGTTATAAAACTTTGGGGGGCCACGGCCCCCTCAGCTCCCAAGAAGATCCGCCACTGTCTACCGGGCAATAAAGCAGAGTATTTAAAGAAAACAGAAGAGGATGAGAAACCATCTCCTAACTATTTCTGTTTTTTTTAAGCACTAGTGTTAGAAACAATTTTTTGAGCTTAATAAAACTTGAATTCAAAATTATTTTTTAGAGAACAGATTTTAAAACAAAAAAGTGATTAGAGAATCAAATGGGCTCTTGATTTCTTTGTTTCCATGCCTATAAGAAAAACTCTGTTTCTATTCTATCGTTGTGACATTCCCTGGATATTCATTTCCTTTTTCTTTCTTCCAAATTATCAAAAGGCATTAAACCATCAAGGAAAAGTTGGTAGGTTCTTTCTTCATTGGCTTTTATTTTCTCCCTCATTGGTTATGTAGAGTGGAACAGTTTGGATCAATTTTCTGTGGCATGAATTATATGTAGTAGTAGGCTACTCATTCATTTTCTAAGAAATGGCAAGCTGGCTTTAGCGAAGGGAACTTCATCATACTTTTGAGGATTCAACCTTTTGACTTCCAAAATCAATTGTTCGCTCAAGTTAGCATTGCTCTCAATTTTTTACAAAGGTCTTGTTTCGCTCTGATTGCTGGTTTCCTTTGTTTACCAGGTTCTTGTCCGTGATATATGGGTATTTGAGAAGTCTATGTTTCACCCTGGCGCAAGCTGGCGTCTGTGTGGACGGATAACACCAAAAGCATCAATCTCATCTACTTGAATAAAGAGACTAGAATTAATGGTGTTTAGCTGTTCCTCTTATGTTGTGTCTTGTAACCGTTGAGCTTAATTCTTATTTGTTTGTCTCTGTAGCCTTGTCCTCTGAATAAAATCAAGTATAGGTGTTCGAATGAAATTCATTTGGTATGTTTTTTTCTTCTTCTATTGTCTCCTTGTCAGTTTCTTTCTTTGCAGGAAAGGAATTTGCCAAAATAAAATATTATTAATAAAATAGTAAACGTGGAAGAATGGCAAAGAGATTCTATTCTCCAACCGTGTACATTTCATCAAGACAAATAGATTGGCAGTATTAATTCCTCCCTGTTAATAATTTGGAAAGAGTCGCTGAAACAAGCATGTAAATTTTTGCATTTGTATTAATCATGATTAATGCATGGCCAAATGTGCTCCCATGCATAAACATAATCTGAGCGGGGGAGATGCAGTATCAAGCAATGCCTTTTTATATATTCTTGCTTTCTACTTTCAGATTCAATGGCAATTTTCTAAGAAAAGCAAAGAATATCTTCCAAATATTTTAATATCCACTTCCTGGTCTAAACTTATATTCGTAGTTCACGAAGGGATTAATCAATCTCTTACACCATTTTTCATATCTTTCTCTGGGTAAGTTTTAGAGAGATGGACCGAAGAGAATTCCATCTTCAACCCATGAGCATCTGTTACAGGATCTACCATTTCCTCATAAAATCTTTGACTTCACAAGCGTCGAAGACAGTGACTTTAGGCCGTTCTAGACATGAGAGTTCAAGTTCAACTGCTCTAAGAGGTTCTGAGTCTAGAGCAGAAAAGGAGGTTCAGTCAGAGACACCAAGCGAAGTTGATGATGACAAGAAGCTTCCACCAAGTGAAGGTATTGTAGCAGACTCTATTTCTTCGGATGTACAAGAAGCTGAAGAGAAGAATAACCCGTGCATGAACGTTGATAATAAGATGGAAGGAAAGAATGAGGTATTCACATTGCCAACGCCAAGCTTAGCCCCAACGCGATCTATAAAGAAAACTGTAAGCATAAATGAGAACGTGGAAGAGATTCGGCCGCCTAAGAAGTTGAAGAGGAAGTGGAGCAAGTCCCTCCAAAAAATAGGTTCTAGGGATGAAGACGAAGAGTCAATGCCTCCTCCCCGATCAATTCTGAAAGTGAGTTCTGATCTCAGTGACAAGTCATACTCCTTTTCTTAATTTCACGTTTCGGGTGTAAAAATGTTATGGGTCGCCTTAACAATCTCTTTTATCATTGATGATTCCACAATTAGCGCTCTTTCTTTTATTCTGTACATTAATATTTCTATGGACTCTTCTGCTTCTTAAATTCTAAAGTAATCGAATATTCATCTTATCAAATGCCCTATTCCTCTCACGTGATACGAATAGATATAAAATTTTTGCACCGACTCGACTTCTGTCATGTGCAGAATCTGTTTGTCTCAAAGACTAGAAAAAATCAACCAGGCTGGGATCTCCATATTTTTTCGTTCAAAGGCAGAAAAGACACAAAAATAATCAACCAATGAAGTTCTCATCAATCAATCGTGTTATCTTTAAAAAATCTAGAAGTTACTTGTTTGAAAACTCCATCTCCCTGTCGGCATACACAATACTAAACCTCAGTTGAAAATGAATCAGAGAAATGCAATAAATATATCAGACTAGTTTAAAATACCAAGTGATACATAACAAAATGAGCGTGAGTAGATCCTTAACCATTGTTGGAACCATACTGAACCCAAACTAAAACATGCAATCTTTTATTAACAATGATACACAGGCTTTGTAATCATAACAAACAATCCATAAGAATCAAGAAAAGCTTGAATACAATTATACAAACCCTACAAACAATATAAAGTTGCTTAGTCAACTATCACTTTTCCCAGCTTTCTTCCCCTTAACCATTCCATTCTATTGAAATCCCTTTTTATATCATTTAAAACTAAAAATCCATATGGGAATAACACTATGTACAATCACTTGAAGAATTAGTTTCACCTTCATTTTCCACAGCATCATCTTCATCGTCATCAGAAGAGTCAGGAAGATTATCAAAAAACTCTCTAAGGTACCAGGGACACTGATCATTCCAGTCACCCCTGCACGCGGTGGCACGCCATTTTTGGTCAGCTATCATCTCAGGAGAGAGTCCCCATTCCTGCATTTCTTCCTCTGTATGATTAACAGCTAAACTGTATTCTCCACCAATTCCCAGCTGCATAATACGGAACTCGCAGTTCCCAAGATTGTTTAGGTGCTCAAACTGTTCAACCGTCCACTTGAACCACTTCATCAGGAAAATACGCGATGTCAGCCCGTGAGAAACAATTACGAAATTCAAATCATTGGAAGGATCGTGACGAAGCCTGTTCATGTCTATGTCCCTCCACAGAGATTCAAAGAAACCTGCAAACCAATCACAACCATCAACAAAACAATAAAAGACAGAATCAGAAACTATCTTGGTTTAAATACAAGTTTTAACACTAAGATTTCATACTTCAGGCAAATTTTGGCACCCAAATTTTAAAAATTTTTAAACTTTAAAAAACTCTGATTAGTTCATGCTGATTGAAAAAAACTTTATTTTTGTATTTGAAATTAATTGCACATTTTATTACTAAAATTTTATAATTTTACACATTTTACTGTCTAATAATTTGACAAAATTTTACCATTAATATTTTAAAATTAAACACATTTAAACTCTTCTTAAATTTGTCAAATATTAATGTCATACTGACATAAGAATGTACTAACATATAGTTTGCATTTAGAATTAAAAAAAATCATGAATTTTTCATTTAAATGATAAACAAAGACAATTTTTCTTGTTCATTTTATTTTTATTTTTATTTTTTCACTGCGTGCTCTTGTCTTTGGGGCTACAAATTGATTTTTCATGTCATTTCCTCTCCACAATGTTAAATATGTAAATTATGATGCTTTTATACATTTGACTCTGCATAAAAACAATTGTAGAAGAAATGGAAGAAGTAGATTTGGGCTCACACAAGCAACACTAAAACACATCATTGTGGGAAAGAAGAAATGGAACATAGAGACAAAAAATGGACTTGCACAGAAGAATAAAATAGATGAAGATGACCTATTTGAGTGTTGGGATTACATCATGACTTTAAATATGTACAAGATCTCAAACAAAAAGGATAAATATAGTTAATTTTAAAGATCAATGATAAAATTTGTCAAATTAAAACTTGGATTAAAAAAATGCTCAAAAAATATCAAACATCAATGATAAATAGTCTAATTAAGTGTTATCTTGTTAGTTTTCAAGATGTGTTATATTTATACTTCATTCTTTTCTACTTTATTTGATTCCACCTACCATTAGATAATTTAGATATATGAATATATTAATTAAATTAGGTCTTAAAATTTGTGTCTTGACAATTAATTTGATTCTATTCATTCTCTAGCTACTCATTTCATCTTTAAAGTTAAAAATAAAATTTAAAATAAATTAATATTATAAAAATATGGATATTGTATTCTAACATCTGTATTTTCATGGTATAAATAACAATCCTATTAAAACAAATAACTACTTAATAATTGATTTTCTTAACATAATAATAATAATAGAAAAATTAAAATTGTATATTTATGATTATTATATTATTAAAGAAGAGAGTTATCAAATAATGTTTAAAAGTAAATAATTTATTTAAATATCAATGTTGAATATAATAAAACCTAACATATATATATATATATATATATATATATATATATATATATATATATATATATATATATATCTTTCAATTTCAGACAAGTTTATCCATCAGCTAAACTTATATTTTATTTTATTAAATAATAAGCAATAAAAACATGTTTGAATTAAAATTTCAAGTACTGAAGTATTTATCGATAAAATTAAATTAAAAATATGAAGAATAATGAGAAGATGATTTGGAGAGCAACGTAAGGAGAGAGAGAGAGGACGAAAAGCTTACTGGAAACGCGATCGAAAACGTCGGCGGCGGACTCTCCCTCCGGGAAGCGGTAGAAGAACCTCCCGAACCGCTCGCGGGTTTCCTTTACCACCTTCATCCTCTCTTCCACCTGAAAGTTTCCGAAGTCCTGTTCTCGAATCCGCGACTCTTCCCTCACGCCAATAATCCTCTTCTTCGAGAAACACCGACCTACCTCGCGTAGCGTCGATCGCGTGCGGGCGTACGGGGAGACGTAGAACTGCACCCGCCAATCCGGGGAGCAGCCGGAGCTGTCAATCACGCCGCGGAGGCGGACGCCGGCGTCGCGCGCCTGCTGCTTGCCCTGCTCCGTTAACTGAATGCTGTGGTCCGGAGTGGTGGTGTACGCCGCCGTGTCCCGGTTCCCCTGCGACTCCCCATGCCGCATTAGAATTATTCTCTTCGGTAGCACTCCTTTCATTTTCTTCTCTTCTATTTCCCCTCTCTTTTTTTTTTTTTTTCTCCCTCAATTTAAAATTTATAATGTTATAACTAGTTCATAACTGATTTTGAAAAGAAAATATTATTATTATAATTATATACATATCAAATTTTATATCATATTATATTACGTTAAATTAAAATCCCTCGGTCAAGCCGCAGTAGCTGTAAAGCTTAAACGCGTAAAACTAGTTCTCACCTATCAATAAATACCCAATTTGCTAGGGTTCGTTGAAAATTTTAATTGCTTTTCGATTTTTATTTAAAATTTTATACTCTTTTCAAATTTCGACGACACTATCTACAAAAATTCTTAAATTCTTTAGATTGGATTGTTTTATTCTGGAAGAACATACATTTATAAATAATATTACCAATGTAAGTATTAGATGATTTTGTTAAATTTTATAGTTATTATTTTTCAAATTATGTTAATGATAATTTGTATAATTAAATAACCGTTTAAATTATTTTATATTATGACCCTTAAATGTATATATTTTATTTAATAAAAATGAGTAGAAAATTTGAAAATAAATGTCTCATTTTTTTTTATCTAAAATCATATTCTCTGTGGAAATTTTGGGACTTAAACTGCCTTTGTATCTAAATTTTATTTGAGTATGATTTATTAATTTTTATTTCATTTTTTACTTATTTAAAGAATAAACTTATTAATGAAAATTTGGTAATCAACGACTTTAATGATATCCCAAAACAATTGAAAATTCAATCACGATTGATATAAAATTAAATACACAAATTTTAAAGTTAGAAACTTTTCTTTAGTGTGAAAAAAATTACAAGTATTATAAATAATATCTATAAATATTATATTTAATTAAAATATTATGTTTTAATACAGTATTACTTTTAATCAAACACTAACTTCTTTTGTTAACATTCCTTTTGATGCTATTCAATTTAAGTAGATAAATTGATGATTACTAATATTGAATTACTTCTCTCCAAAACTGAAATATGCTTTTTAATGTAATGTTTTTTAATTGATTCATTTTTCAAAATTTCATATATTGGAATTCGAATAAAAATTTATTAAGTGGTATCCTATTTTAAATTTGGTTTTAAAAGTCACAAATAAAAGAAAATAAATTGATTTGACATTATATAAAATAATCAACGATAAAGGAACTATTTAAAAAAAAAAAAAGATAAAGTTAAGTAACTGTGTATCATAACTATCATTTTTGTCTTTGTAAAATTAGGTCGTTTCTTCTTTGAATTTTGATTACAAATTAGTTTTTCATATGACTTTTGAAATAAATTATAAAACTGTTCATCGTTATGTATATTTTAAAATTACATAATTTTAATACTAAAGCAACAATAAATACCATTATTGTTATTTAATAATTCTAATTAGATTAAGTTGGACTAGACTTAAGTTAAACATACAAAATCATGATCTAAATAATAAGAAATTAAGTGACATTTAATTGAACTAAACTTTTCCAACAAAAAAAATCAATTTAATTTATTTGATTAAATTAAATTTAGTCATTGGATTATCTAACCTAAGCAATATTTGTATGTAAGCAAGTTTATAAGATCAAATCAAATCTTCTCTAGGTCGAGATACTAAATATATTCGTGATAGACTCTACTCATATTTTAATTAAGATCAAAATTATATCTGTAAAAGTCTAACCTAACCAATATCTCCATCCCTACTACTGTCCACCTAATATTTTAGCCCTTGAATCTAGCATTATCTTTTTAATCTTTAAATTTTGAAAACTTATTATTTTACTCGTTTTTACACACATAGTTAATGAATGGTGTAGCTTATGTGCTAATGATATAATTTTTACGATAATTTATTTATTTTTAAATGTACAATTTTCATGAATTTAAAAATCACACTAACAAATATAGAAAAAACTAGAAACACATGATTATATCTTTTATTCTCATGAAATTCTAAACTCCATAAACTCATTAAACATATCAAATTGAAATCACCTGAGAAAAATAAAAAATTATATAGGTTAAAAGTCCTTTATAATTTATAAATTTATTTAAGAATTGAAATCAATAATAATTTATATTTCTCTTTTTTAACTTATTAAATCGTTTCTAAAATAAAATCATGATAAATTAAATTTTTTTAAAAATTAAATATATAAATTAATCATAATGATATTAATATAATAAATATAAGACTGAGATGATCTTATTCTTAAATGCATCCAACATACAATAAAAATAAAACAATAATGTTATCATAATGAATAATAAAATCAAGTCATTCTAGTTCTCATTCAAAAAATTATATTTTTATATCTAAAATTAAACAACATGACTATTCAAGGAAAATACAATTACATCTTTATTTTTATTTTCTTGTATATCTCTTTTTGTTTATTTATGTAAGGTATTTAATAAAATAATTAACAAGATTTTTACAACTTAACATACTATTTAAAACTTACAAAAATAAAATTTTATTTAAGCAACTCTCGTCTGGTCAATATAGCTATGTACATTTCCAATACTACATTAATGCATGTTTTTGCACTGCTAAAATCAGTACAAACACGATGGAAAAAAATAAAATATACAAATCACAAATATACATTATCATGAAACAAAAGTAGAGACACCATGGGTCAACCTCCAACTTAATTTTATGCAATGCAATATCCATACATACGTAGATGGTGATGATTACCATGAACATGACGACCAATATGATTCAGAACTTCATGACACTTCCTAAACCTCTCGTTAGGAAACTTCAACTCTTCAATACAAATGCCTTTTTGCTCATATCTATTGCTTTCTTGAACCACTCCATCTTCTTTTTCATACCCCTTTTTTGATTCTACTATAAATTCTTCTTCTACGTCCTGGTCAACTTGTTCTGGTTCTTCCTCTTCCTCTTTATATCGCTTTTTTGATTCTACTATAAATTCTTCTTCTACATCGTCATCAAGCTCCTGGTCTTCCTCTTCGTCATCCCTTTTTGATTCTACTGTAAATTCTTCTTTTACATCATCATCAACTAGCTCTTGTTTTTCCTCCTCTTCTTCTTCTGTATTTTTTTCTACATAATGATCTGGAATGAGGAACAATCTCAATCGTCCATCTTCTCGCGTAGCATAAAGAGTTTCTGGTCTCTTTATTCTCACTTTGTTCAGTTGTAACCTTCCATTTTCTCTTACTGGTACAAGAATGAAACTAGGTTGTCCATGCTTATTTAGCGACGAAATCGGTGGAGGAAAGTTTCTTCCACCCTCTAAACAATCATCTTCGTCCTCATTATTATTAATATTGTTATCATTATCATCTACTTCATCATTAATATAAATGCCTTTAAAATCAAGACTTTTGGTGCAAGTCATCATTAATGCTTCAATATCTCCACCAATGTCCTTGATTAATGCAATTTTCTTTGGCAGTGAAGCAGAATCCAAAACATGTATGATAGCGTTAAAGGTGGTGATTGGATCTAATGATAGAAGGTGGATGTATTTCTTCAACACGCAGTGCAGAAGGAAAGAAAAAGAAATTGAAAGAAGAACAGGAACATACAAAAGCAAATGTCAAAACATATGGCTAAACCTTGTACGAGGAATGTCTGTGTGTATGTGATTGTAGGTTTTGAAAAGCTAGGAGGCTGGGAAGATTGGAAGGGTGGGATATTATAATAATATCCTCACCCCCCCAAGCTAGAGATGGTTATGGTAATAATGAGGTGAAGAAAGTGAAAGGAGAAAACAAGAAGTGATGGTAAAAAAAATGCTTATATGAATATGAAACATGAGTTGCAGGGATAGAGCAAAGTTAACAATTAGTAAATTGTGCCGAATCCCACTGAGATACCCTATAATTACTCCCATAATGACACATTGCTATGTCTCTTCCGCATTCTCAAACTACATTCTCCTCCTCACTTTATTTTATATGACTATACTTGCTAAAACATGAAACCTTCAGTATGTGTAATTATGTTTCTTTGCATAAATGTTGTCGTTTTGTGTATTATTTTGTTTAGATTATTTGTCATTTTATGTTGTTATTGGGTAAGGATGCCAAATTATTATCTATTTGATATTGAGCTAAGGTTTAATAAAAGAATCAAATAGTAATTTATTAATTGGGAGAACCTTTTTGTAAAAGGTTATTAAATTTAATGAAGCAGACATAAAATCCAAAAAAGTGAGCCAAATAAAACTAATGGTTACTTGCCTTTCTCTGTCTGTAATATCGTTGGTTGAGAGCACATGTCGCGACAAAGTGCAAACCTTTCATTTCATTGTCTATCCCTGTCACAACACAAACTAATGCAATCTAATCCCTTTCTGAGTTCCATTCTGGATCGCATTCATCCGCATCAGTACTGCACTTTCTAAACCATTTCGTTGTGTTTTCTTCTCTTCCATGGCCAATCACACCCTAGCAGAGTTTATACGGTATTCACGTCTATTCCCTTTCTTCCTAAACCTTGCGGTAAAAACATGTAAAATTGATATTCATTTTTTATTTTATGATTTCTAATGAGATATTATGTGACATACATTACAGGGAAGAGGAAGAAAGCAAAGCGAATAAATTGAAAAGGGTTTCACTTGCCGAAGCTTTAAATCTTAAACCCAAAGGACTTCTTTCTTCCTCATCTTCTGCCCATGGTTTTTTTTTTCAATTCCTCACTTTTCCTCCCAATTGGGAACACTTAAGCCTTTTCTTGTTTTATACTCATGATTTTCGTTTTTATGTTCCTAGACTTGAGGCATATAGAATTGGAGAAAGAGAAAGAAAACATTGCATCACCAATAGGAGTCTTAGAAGCATGCATGGAAGAATTTCACTCTCATCAAGTAGCTAAACCGAAAACCAGTTGTCCAAGGGCACGTCACTGGACCAATTTTTTCAAACTTCTCAAAAAAAAGTCTTTTAAGCGGCTCGGGTCCCTCCCCCATTTTAGTATTCCAAAGATAGCAAAGTGGAAAAGCAAAAGCAGTAGAGAGAGTCATGTTCTAAGTAAGCTATACAGCTTCAACTCTACTTGGGTCACTTTCAGCCTTTCTGAACTCAGAAATGCAACTAACAATTATAACAGTGGTATGAAACCTCACCCCAACTATGGCATAATTTGATTCTAATGTGAACAGTTTAACTAGGTAGATTTTCATTGATCCTTTTGCATGTAGAAAATATAATTGGAAGAGGTGGTTTTGCTGATGTTTACAAGGGGTGTCTCCCAGATGGACAATTAATAGCTGTGAAGAAATTGACTAAAGGAAACACAGATGATAATACCGTGGGCTTTCTATCTGAGCTAGGCATAATTGCTCACGTTGACCATCCTAATACTGCCAAGCTAGTTGGATGTTGTGTAGAAAGAGACATGCAACTTGTCTTTGAACTATCTACACTGGGAAGTTTAGGATCCCTTCTTCATGGTTTGTACCTAGCTTGATTGCAGTATCCTCGTACGTGAATGTTGTTGTTATGTACTTAGTGTTTATTTTATCATGATGTACTCTAGGTTCAGATAAAAACAAATTAGATTGGAGTAAAAGGTATAAAATTGCTCTGGGAATAGCAGATGGTCTCCTCTATCTGCATGAGAGTTGTCACAGGCGAATCATTCATAGAGATATTAAAACAGACAATATTCTGCTCACGGAGAATTTTGAGCCACAGGTTTTTACCAAACTTCATTCGAACTTGTTTGCAGCATATATTTCTTTATACATGAAACATGCTCCATAAATGTATTCTTATTTGCATAAGTTGTCTGTGTAGGAGCGTAAGCATTGTCATCTTTAGTTATAACAATTTTGTCTTATGTTTTGCTGTTATAATCAACTTATCAAGTTTTCCAATTTCTAGGCAATAAGCTTATATTCTGTTGTTGTTATCAACTCCTCCTCATGTTGTATTATCATTAATTAAGCAGTAAGATATATATTATTTTCTAATTACTCTTATTCTCTAACTTCTTTTTTCAATTTTGCCAAAAGATAACATATGAACTGATAGCTTTCATGCCATGTTTTTGCTGATTGTTAAACATCCCTTTCATGACTTGTTAATGCATGGTTTACAAGTAAACTAGTCTCTTAAGGTTTTTTTCTGAATAATTGACTTGTTTTCCAGATATGTGACTTTGGGCTTGCAAAATGGTTACCTGAACAATGGACTCACCGTAATATACCACAATTTGAAGGCACATTTGGGTATGCAAATAAAAAATTACTAACGGTAAAGTTTTTTAAGTCGGTGTTTTTCCTTTTTTCACTTTTCGTTTCAAAATCATTTTCAATTTGTTTCAAAGATTTGTCAACATAAAAAATGCTGTTTTATTAGTTTTGGTTTCCATTGTCTACTTTGCAATGTTTTAAAACATAACTAAGAACAAGTGATAGTTTTGTAATAAAAAATAAAAGAGAAAATGAAACACAAGAAATGAAAAATAAAAGTAATCAGAAATTAGGTCATGATTTAATAAATTCTCCTGATGAATCACTTGATTGACAGTTATTTTGCTCCTGAATATTTCATGCACGGAACAGTAGATGAAAAAACTGATGTTTATGCATTTGGGGTCCTACTTTTGGAGATCATAACCGGGCGTCCAGCTGTGGATCATTTGCAGCAAAGTGTTGTGATATGGGTATACCATTTTCCTAAAGTGCGATACATATATATATATTATAATGTTTCTATTTCTGACACTGCATGCATGTGAGAGACCTTAGCTTTTTGTACTGTCTTGTCATGTGTATCATAGGCAAAACCTTTCCTTGAAGCCAATCTTACCAAGGACCTTGTTGATCCTTCACTTGGTGATGATTATGATAGAGGACAATTGGGTTGTGTGGTTGTAACTGCATCAAAATGCATTGAACAAACTCCTATGTTACGCCCCTGCATGAGTCAGGCAAGTAGTATACATTACATTTCCATCATGTTTTCAGAGTTAATTCCACCACTTTGTTTAGGCTAATTGTATGTTTATACCAAGAATTTTACCCTTGTAGTTTTATAAGATGCTAGTAAGAACTAAGAAATGGATAAAGAGATGGTGTGGAAAGAAAAAAGACAGAAGAAAATGTACAGTTTCATAAAAGATTGATCATATTTTCTTTGATGAATGCAGATTGTCACAATGCTAAGAAGTCACAACAAGTACGGTCGGGACTCAAAAACAAGTAGAAAGATACCTCTCCGAAGAACATACTCAGAAGAGCTATTAGATGCGCAAGAATACAACTCAACAAAATATCTAAGAGATCTCAAGCGACATCAACAAATTGCATTAGGTCTTGAGATCTAAGGACATTGTCAGCTTTTTTTAGGGCTAAAAAGATGTATAAAATTCTCGACAGTATCATGAAGTCCATGAAAACGATTCCTTCAAGATACCATGCTGAAACTTTGAACAATGGTTTTATATGTAAGATATTAAAGGCTACCTGGATTTCAATCGAGCAACTTGTATACATGTTATCCATGCGACATAATATTAGCACTTTTTCATAACAACATTTTGATTATACATGTATACGTACACCAATATCTTGATTTCTTATTCATGACTTGGTTTCTGTTTAGTTTCATGGTGGCTTCATGATGAATGCTTTAATTCCTCTTCAAATAAGTTTCACCAAAACATAAGATGTTGGGTCACAAAAACAAAACTACTTTTTTTGTTCAGTCTGGCGAGCAAACAACTATCCTTAGCATTTTTTTATTCTAAATTGTTGTTTTGAGTTCTTTCTAATTTTTTTCTTCATGGTTTTCCAAGTTGATTATGTGATTTGTATAGTAGGTTTTTTTTATAAAAAAATTAATTCATGAATAAAAAGGTGGTGAAAAATTTAAATGTGAAACTCAGTAGTGTGTAAGGACAAAAAAGTTGAATATAATATAAAAAAGAAATACTCATAACACAATATATTAAGGTTTTTAGTTGAAGATCATGTCAATCTCTTTAATGGGTTAAACTTATGTTTTATTAGTGTCGTCTCTCTCAAGTGAATCTTTCTTGAAAGATTTAGTATTGTATCAAAGTCTGATTTAATAAGAAGATAATTAGTTGAAGAATTTATTGGGATAAAATTAAATAAAAAAGATAATTAGGAATTTGTTGGATTATTTTGATGTTGATGATATCTTGAGTGATTATTATTTGATTTTGAGAAGATAAGATTAGAGTTTTGTGATAGTATATAAATATATCATTGTATTCCTCGTCGAGGTATGACAAAGAATCAATAAAAGTCAATTTTTTGAAATTCTTTGTTATCAAATTGGTATCAGAGCCTAAGTTTTTCTCTTTAGAAAAGTTAGGATTTTTTATAAGAGTTAAGGTTTCTCAATAGAGCTAAAGTTTGAGTTTTTTATTGTAAAAAAAAGTTGAAGAGTGAAAATGGTTGATTTAACGAATGCTATAATTGTGTCGTGATTGACGAAGGACATCAGTTATGATAAATGGAGTGTCCAAATGAAGGTTTTCCTCAAAGTCCAAGATTGTTGGGAAGTAGTAGAGGAAGATTTTGAAGAATCAGAAACCACGAAAGGATGGACGACCTCTACTCTCAAGGCATTGACGAAGCAACTTTCGAAGAATAATGTAGTTCTATTTAAGTTGTTTCGAGTTGTAGAAGATTTTGGTTTGGAGAAGATTGTAGAAACTACATTTGTAATTGAAGTTGGGATGCGTTGGAAAAGAAATACAAGAACGATAGTCGAGTCACACAAATTCGACGATAAACATTGCGTAATGAGATAGAGAGTAATGAAGGAGTCGGAAAGAGTTTCCAAATTGTCTTACATGTTGAAAACATGACAAAGCAACTTAATCAGAATGAAAAGACAATTTTCATAAAACAAATCGTTGAAAAGATCTTGAGATTATTAACATATGAATTTGAGATAGTAGTGTGCATAATAGAGCAAACAAAAGACTTGTCCGAACTTATAATAAAGAAGTTAATTGATTCTCTTAAAGCCTATGAACACCGAAATAAGAAAAAGAAGGAAGAGACGACTGTGCAATTATTCTAGAATAAGGAAAAATAGGAGAATACTCTTTATTCTCAGAGTAATAGAGGTAGAGAACGAGGGCGTGATCGAAGAGGAGGTAACCACTATGGAAAAGACTATTACTCAAACAAGTGTTACAATTGTGATGAGGTTGGACACTTTGCAAAAGAATGTCAAAAGGCAGAAGAAACTTATCTTGTGGAGGAGAACGAAACTAAAGAAGCAATATCGTTGATAGTTGACCGCAACTAACAAGAAAGGTGATGATATATCAGCAAAGAGAGAAGATGTCAATCACAACTCAATAGTACATTTGGGAGCATATTACAATTCAGAAGATTCAATATGATATTTAGACACTGGTAAATAACCATATGTGTAGAGACGAACACCAATTTAGCAAATTGAAGAAATTTGAGGGTGATTATGTGTCTTTTGGAGATGATTCGAAGGTACTAGTAAAAGACCAAAGTATTATTTGTTTCTTGTAAAAAGATTACCTACTTTGGTCAATCCGAGATGTGTTTTATGTTCCAGATCTTAAGAATAATCTTTTGAGTATATGACAACTTATGGAGAGAGGATACTAAGTATTCATATGAAAGATCGAATACTAAAATTGAAGGACAATCTTGAAATATTGATTATCCGAGTAAAGATGGAGAAGAATAAAATATACAAGTTGCAGCTAAGAAATATTCGAGAGGGGAGTTTGAAATTAAAGGTAGAGGAAACGTTGGAAAAATCATGAATATGGTCATGTATTTTTGTGGTCTAACTGAGTTGATTTATAATGATAATTATGATGTTGATTCGGACATTCGAGTTGATAAAACACGTGAAGAATTAGAGGATGATAAAGGAGGTTGAGTTGATACACCAATATAGTAGCAACCAGTTCAAAAACTGAGGAGGAAGAAATAATAATATCAGTGAAGTTGAATAAAAACATGAAGAATATGATGTTCAGATTGTTGAGCATGGAGGGGAGAGTTTGCGAATGTGTGGTGAAGACCAAATTTAAAAAAAAAAATGTTGAGTATAGAGAAAAAATTGAGTTAAGTCAGAGTAGTGTATTCCAAAGTAACCATGTCAGAGCTGTTGTGGACAAAATGATATGAGTTGTTATGGACAAGAAGGTTCAGGTTGTTATTGAAGAAAAAGTCCAAGTTGATATTGAAGAGAAAATTCAAGTTGTTATAGATAAAAAGGTCAAGTTATAGAACATTTAGACACATTGGTGATGATCGAATTACCGAGTCATATATGACTGAGTTGTTAGTGTGAGCAAGTATTTTAGAAAGATGAAAAACTTTTTTGTTGGCCTTTAACCAAGCTCAATCAGAAGAAAAGAGGTGAAGAGTTGTTAGGCGTAGCATCATGGAGTGTGTATCATACCATGTGATTCAGGAATTTGTTGAACTTGGTGGAGGAGAGACAACTCGATGCAACGGTAATCCGATGTTGATAACAAGTTGATCATTAAATTATGAAAGAATGCGATCAATCATGAGAGGAGCAAATACACTGATGTGTATATTCACTTTATCTTAGAACATGTAAAGGAAAAAAATGTAGAGTTTGTACATGTGGTAAGCCGAGACCAAGTTGCTGATATTTTTACAATATACTATATTATTCAAGAACTGCAAAAAATTAATTTAAAAGGAACTCGAGTACTTGAGAATATGGATATTTAACAAATTGACAAGTCGACTAAGTTGGGAGCTTGAATTTTGAAGATAAAAAATCCAGATATTGGTTATGTTAATCTCAAGTTTTGTTGCAGAGAGATTTAATTTTACGGAAAATTTTGTTAAATAAAATTAAATTTAAAAGATAATAAGAAAATAACTAATTTAAAAATTTATTAGGAAAAAATTAAATAAAAAAGATAATTAATAAATTGTTGAGATATTTTAATACGGATTATATCTTAAATGATTATTATTTGATTACAAGAAGATAAAATTAGAGTTTTATAATAATTTAAAAAATATAATTGTATTCTTCGTTGACGTATAACATATAATTAATAAAAGTCAATTTTTAAAAAATTATTTGTTATCCCGACTCAAAATATATATTAGGTAACATGTGATAATGATGATAAATATATAAAAAAAAGGAAAATAATGAAAACATGTACTGCCGTTAAAAAAACTAATTATATATAATCTAATAGGACTTAGATTAAAGAAATGTGTTAGTTTTATTTTTTTTATTTGCAAGACCAAAAATAACTAGGTGAAGATAATATTTAAAGTTCAATATGATGATTAGGAGAAGTTAAAATCTCTTTTAATATATTATATTGATAGATAGATATAAATAGATAATATTATTAACAGTAGAATTAAAGAAAATAGAAGGATAAAAGTAGAAGAAAAAAGAGAGAATATTTTTTAATTGCTTAGTTGAAAGAAAATGTAAAGAAAGAAAATTTTGTTTGATCGTGTAGAAAACAAGAGGAAAAATGTATAGGTAAAATAGCAAAAAGACATAAATATGGTTAAATAAAATTAAATACAATAGAGTTAAAAGTTATTTTATTTGTATAATTTAAGACTACAAAAATTAAAGAGTCCATTTATTTTGGGCTTTTACGTGGGCTTAGGGTACCCTATTGCCAATTCTATACATAACCTCGTCTTCCCAATTATGCGTAAACTTTCTAAAAAGCAAAATAAACTGGTGGAAAAAAATTATTCCCAAAGTGTGGATTTGCATCCACTCTAACTCTACCTACAATTACGACTCAATTATTATTGTCACTTTCTTGGTAAACAAGTTGATCTTCAAAGCCCAATAATTTTATTTTAATTAGGTTCCGCATCTAGTTTAAGATATTCCCACGCCTTGTCCCTTTGCTAATCAACATGCCGTGTGGACTCCATTTTTTACCACAAATTATACTTCTTAATTAATCAATTTTATATATTTTTTTCTTTAAAGCTAGAAAGAGAAAAACATGCGATTCAACAATCACAAAAGAAAATATAAATTGATTTCGAATTTTTCTTTTCATAAGAATATTATATAAATATATGCAACTCTTTTTTAATTCCCCAAGGCATTCCTACATACTTGCGTATGGGAATTCTCCCCTAAACTTGCTCGTAACTCGATAACTCACCATGTGTAATGTCCAATTTGCCCTTCCACTCATCCACCAATAATTTTCTTCCAAGTATTCAATTATCCACCAACCCCTTCTATTCGCCATTGCAATATAAATGTAAATATAAATAAATTTATAATAATAATAATATTTAAAAGTGTGATTATGAGTTGAAAAGATGAAGAGAGATCCAAGGGGTGGATGGTAATTCGGAGCGAGTTGAAGTTTGAAAACATAAGAAAGGGACGTAATGGGGATTTTGGAAAATGTCATAGGAGCGAAGTGGTAATAGTGAAATAAGTTGCGATTAGCACCAAGCAGAAGCAGAGTAGCGACGAGTCTAAACTCTAAAACGAAAGACAGAGAGAGAAGAGGAACCGTCTTCTTTAAGGTCAAATTTCATCAACAACCAACTAACACGTTACGCCGGAGTTCTCCGCCGCCGCGCACGGCGAATCCCGACGCCTCTCAATCTTATGCTATATTCGATCGCCTGCGTTCCGCGACTCTCGTCGACGGAATTCCCGGTGACTCACCGGTGGCCCGTGGATAATTGTTTCTTTCCTTATTATGAAGAATCAGAGCAAGGACAACGGTGGCAGCAAGAGCAGCAATGGATTTGTTCCTTCTTCCTTTAAGTTCATATCGTCTTGCATTAAGACCGCCTCCTCCGGCGTCCGTTCCGCCGGCGCCTCTGTCGCCGCCTCCATCTCCGGCGAAGGACACGACCGCAAGGACCAGGTAGCATTTTGCGTTGGTGCTACTCTTCCTAACTTGTCAGTTGTTGCCTTCTGAAATTGCGATTTGTGAATGCTGTTGAAAACTGACAAGTCAAACATGCGTCAGTTTTGAACTTTGTACACTGATGAAAATTTAGGGCAGTAAAAACTTGCTTATGCTTGGTTCTTTGTGGAGATGCTATTTTTTCTTTTTTGTAGATGCTGTCTTCAATCGCACAAAATGAACTGTTGATTGGTATTTCTTGTGTTTGTCTCTAACATTGGGATTGCATTTATGCTGGATTATTGAGTGAAGTGAAGGACTTAGTCCACATGACTATGTTTACGCTATTCCATTTCCAGTAGTTTTCTTCGTTTTTGTCTTTTTAGTTTTGTATGAAGTGGCATTGAATGTTCTAATTAATAATAGCAATTTATTTAGCTCCAAAAAATTGAAGAGATATTATTTTATTTATTTTATGTTTCATGATTGCAGAACATAATTAATTTCAGACTGGTTTGCGTGATGATAATTGAGTAGTTAAACAAATTCTACCGGGCCGTGTAATTGTGGATGGTAAAACTAGAATATAGAATAGGGCATTATATACGTTTTGGTTATTAGAAGAATTCACTGTGGTCTGGCACTACCGAATAATTGACAGATCCCAATTGTAGTGATGGAATTGTATTTTGATCAACACTATCCTCTGGCGAACTTCAAAATTGCTTTGCAGCTGTAAACTTATTACTTATGAATGGAGTCAGAAATATTGACTTCTTTATTTGTCAATCAGGTGCTTTGGGCTTGCTTTGACAGACTGGAACTGAGTCCGTCTTCGTTCAAGCATGTCCTCTTACTTGGTTATTCCAATGGCTTTCAAGTTCTTGACGTGGAAGATGCCTCTAGTGTCAGGGAACTTGTCTCGAAACGTGATGATCCAGTTTCATTTTTACAGATGCAGCCTGTCCCTGCAAAATCAGAAGTTTGTGAAGGATTTAGAGCATCACACCCTTTACTCTTGGTTGTTGCATGTGATAAATCAAAGATCCCTGGTAAATTGCTGAATGTCAGAGATGGCCATAATGAAGCTCAAGCGGAAAATATTGTCAGCTCAGCAACAGCAGTTCGGTTTTACTCATTAAGGTCCCATACCTATGTTCATGCTCTGAGATTTCGGTCAACCGTCTACATGGTTAGATGCAGTCCTCGAATAGTGGCTGTTGGTCTAGCTACTCAAGTAAGTTTTTGAATTGAGTACATTATTTGACGAAGTTGAGTATATGATTCTTTTGGTAGATTATGGGCAGGTCTTATCAATTTCCTTTGATATGTTGCAACACTGCAAGTTAATGATAGATTATCCTGTCACCTAATGAATCAATTATGTATACTTTATATATAATTACACTGTAATGCTTCAACCGTGTTTGTTATTGCCGTAGGTAAAATCATCTAATTTTTTTTATTCATTTATACTTTGCTGGCAGATATATTGTTTTGATGCTCTTACTCTTGAGAATAAGTTCAGTGTTCTCACTTACCCCGTACCTCAGTTGGGAGGACAAGGAATGACTGGGGTTAATGTTGGCTATGGTCCTATGGCTGTAGGACCCCGTTGGTTAGCTTATGCCTCAAACAGCCCATTGTTGTCAAACACTGGTCGCTTGAGTCCTCAGAGCCTTACTCCTCCTGCTGTCAGTCCATCAACATCACCCAGCAGTGGAAACCTGGTAGCTCGATATGCTATGGAATCTAGCAAGCATTTGGCGGCAGGGCTGATCAATCTTAGCGATATGGGATACAAAACATTGTCTAAATATTATCAAGATCTAATACCTGATGGATCTAGCTCTCCTGTATCATCAAGTTCAACCTGGAAAGCCAATCGATTTGCATCAAATTCTACAGAAACAGATACAGCTGGGATGGTGAGTATTCTATTTGGTGACAACTTAACATGTTATAGTATGATTTCCTTATGCGATGTGCCAGACCCTGACTAGATATTTTCTTTCTTAAAGTAATATTGGCATCTGTATTACAATTTGCATGAGATCATCTATTGGTTCAGCTTAGCCATAGAAGAAGAATTTTCTAAGGTAGTTAATAACACTGAGTATTTTGCTGTAGCCTTTTCTCTTTACTTGCTCTCATTTAATCATTGCTTTATGTCAATTGAAACAGTAAAGTAATTATTCTATATACTTGTTGACTAGTGTTACTCATCCATTGCAGGTTGTTGTCAAGGACTTTGTTTCTAGAGCTGTTGTGGCACAATTTAGGGCTCATACTAGTCCAATTTCTGCGTTATGTTTTGATCCAAGTGGGACACTTTTAGTTACAGCCTCAATTCATGGCAACAACATTAATATATTTCGAATTATGCCATCATGCTCAAGGAATGGATCAGGTTCCCAAAGCAGTGATTGGATCTGTTCACATGTGCACCTTTACAAGCTCCACCGTGGCATGACTTCTGCTGTATGCTTCTATTCTCAGTGTTTCTTTACCGCCTTTTATATTTAGAGCCCAAATTTGATCAACTGTTAGTATAATGTTTTTAATACTATCATCTCATGATGTGTTGTTGACACATTATCGAAAGAGTTTAATTTGTTTAGGTTCAAAGTTCTTTAGTGATTGATTTGGTATTGTATGTTTGGATTATAGTGTAATTAACAGGATATCAAAATTAAATCCTTACGTTTATATGCTTGAGAATGGTTTTACTTAATTGTTAATATTATGCAGGTAATACAAGATATTTGTTTTAGCCATTACAGTCATTGGGTTGCCATCATTTCCTCCAAGGGAACTTGTCATATTTTTGTTCTTGCACCTTTTGGTGGTGAGACAGTTCTTAAGATGAACGATCAAGACACAGATGGGCCTGCTCTTTTGCCAATTTTTCCTCTACCATGGTGGTTCACTCCACATTTCACAGTAAATCAGCAGCAGTTGAGCCTGACACCCCCACCTCCTGTTGTCCTTTCGGTGGTTAGCAGAATAAAGAATAGTAATGCTGGATGGTTCAATACAGTTAGTAATGCTACATCTTCAGTTGCAGGGAAAGTCCCAATTCCATCTGGTGCTGTTACTGCTGTCTTTCACAGTTCCATACCTCATGTTTCACAGAATGCATACTCAAAAAGTCATGCTATGGAGCACTTATTAGTTTATACCCCTTCTGGTCATTTAATTCAATATAAACTACTGCCACCACTGGTGGCAGAGTCAAGTGAAACTTCTTCAAGAACTGCCCCAATTCCATTAGCGCAGATACAAGAAGAAGATTTGCGACTGAAGGTTGAACCAGTTCAGTGGTGGGATGTCTGTAGGAGATATGATTGGCCAGAAAAAGAGATGTGTGTATTGGGGAATACTGTTGGTGGACTGGAAGCTGCAGAAATGATCTTGGATAGTTCAGATTATGAAGTTAATAGCATTGGGAGCAATAATTCTATAAAACTTAATAAACAATGTCACTTCTCAAATGCAGAGGTACATATAAGCTCTGGACGGATACCAATTTGGCAGGAGTCCGAGGTAATCATTTGATTTTAGTGCTGAACATTCTACAACATTATTTATTCTTTCAAGCAAATTATTTCTCCCTCAATTTTAGGTGTCTCTCTTTGTGATGAGTCCTTTGGAAGCTGGAGAGCCAGAATTATATGAACTTAGTACAAAAGGAGAAATTGAAATAGAGAATATTCCTGCTAATGAGATTGAAATAAAACAGAAAGATCTGTTGCCCATCTTCGACCATTTCCATAGAATTCAGTCTACTTGGGGTGACAGGTATAATTACTTATCTGCCTTATCGCTGTTGGCCCACTGGATATTATTATGTCTTGTGGAAACTATCCATTTAGAAAATTTCCATTCTAGATGCATTCAATTTAAATATTAGGCTCTCAAATTTTCTACATTGATGAATATATTTGAGTCTCCTCTTTCTGAGTTGTCAAAGATTAATTTTTAAGTTACAAATTTGCAGTCTCAATATTAGGCTCTGCATTTCTTTTATGCTTGCAGTTTCTTGCTGAGATGGAGCTCTTCTGTTTGTACTTTCCTTCTTTTGTTGCTATAGCTTTATTATAGAAACTGAATCAGAATAAAGCAAGAAAAGTGTCGTACGTGCAAAACTTTGAGGATCTACTCCTGTCAATACCCAAAGGCCCCAACCCTCTCAAAAATGACAAGATGATCTCTCTCTTCCCTCCTCCCTTCTTATTTATAGGCAACATGCTTTATTTCTTCAACCAAATAACCTAACTACCTAACGAATGGGTATCGTCTATCAATACTAGAGGTGAGGAAATAATCCATTATCCATCCACAAGTAAATCTATCCATTAAAAAAATAAAAAAGAAGTAGATTGGATCAAATCCATCCATTTAATTATGGATAGTGATCCATAATTTTCCAAAATCCAATGGATCAACATTAATCCAACCAATATTTTTTTTTCATAATTATATTTTTCTTAATTTACTTTTCAAGTTTTCAAAAATATAGTATTAAAATTTGTTTTACAAAATTTATTTTTGAAAATTGTTTAAAAATATAGTTTAAAATTATATTTATTTTATGGATGGATACTCAATCCATCCATAAAAAAAATTTAATGGATAAATTAGATTGGATTTTTAACAAACAGATTATGATGGATCAAATTTTTAATGAACTAGAATGGATTAATGAATTTTTTTTATCCGATCCATTATAATCCAAAATAAAATAGATCCAATCCATCTGTTTACCATCCTTAATCAATACTCCTCCAAGTTCTGCCTTGTCCTCAAGGTGAACAGTTTGTAGTATCGGAAATTAAAAGTCCAGCAGGGCTTCATTGCTTTAAACATTACCGAAATTATCTTTCGTACATCATTAACAGCAAAATCAGAAGGTGAGATGAAGGCCCTGTTTGTGATTGACATCCACAGTGTGGACATGGATTATAGTTTCTATGCGACATGTTTTTTTCCTTCTACCGGCTGGACTTAGCTCATTGCTAGCCTAAGAGTCAAATGAGCAACACTTTTCTTTATGGCCCACTCTTTTTCTATGGTGATTTGGACTTGTCTCATTGGTCAAAAGATTGATCCAGATTCTGTTCTGTAATTACAATCTGGCCCCTCCACCCCTCTCTCTGTTTCATATGCCCCCTTCTTTCTTACTCTTGTGCTTAATTCAAAGATTTGTTTACCTCTAATCAAACCTGCGGCAGTTCTCGTAGTGTCAGTTTGTTTTTCAGCATGCATAACTCACTCTTTTTGATGACTGAATATGACTCTGGTGGTTCTTGCAATTGTAGTGTGTTCACTGGCAATTTCCCCTTTCTATAATTCTTCTTCTGTTGTTGTTCTTCATTATTTTCTTGATTCAAGATCACTGCCATCGGAGAGCTTATCCTCCTCACTTACTTCAATGGTTCCAAGCTACTGATACCCTCAATTAACTTCCCTCCCATCAAATCTTGGCATCATTTTCATGAACAATTCCCACAAAAAACAAAGATCGGAGCTTGCATACTAGTTGATAGAAACTTAATCAGAATTACATAAAGAAAACTCTCTAACTTACAGGACTTCGAGTGTCTGCACCTCCTAATCCTCTTATAACCAACTAACAAACCAATGGGTACCTATAACTTTGTTTAATTTTAATTTGTCACTAAAGATGCAGCTCTATTCTTAGTTCTATGTTGAGATGCATTAAGTTTAAAAACATAATGAGGAAAGCATGGGAGTTTCAAACATCCTATTTGTGTCATGCTATTGCTTTTATTTATGTTATTTTTCTTTCATTTCCCTTTTGCTTTTAAAAGGTTTATAGTGAGGATTTAAACTTTAACTTCTATTTGGTTCTGTGTTTACTGATCAATGATATTGAGCGTGATGTTTTGGGGAGCATTGTTGTTCTCGTCATTTGTTTGAGTTTAAATTTGGAGGGTTTCTTCGTCTTTGTTTTACTTGTGACTGAAATTTTGAAAACATCTGTACAACTGTCCATTCACATGCCTAACAATTTCTACAATTTTTGTCAGAGGTATTGTTATGGGGCGATGCTCTAGCTCTTCGTCTGATTCACATGGAACTGAAGAGAAGTTGTTAGAAGAAACTGCAATTTTCCATTCGAAATTGATGGTACCTGGTCTAGCAGAAAAGACATTTGTTGGTAAGATAAGCAATACAATGTGAAATCTTCTATAATATTTTTTGGTGAACTACGTAATATCTCAGACGTGTCATAAATTTATCTTCAAATAACTTGTCTAATTATAAGATTAATTAAATGAACAGAGAGGTAGCTATGTTGTCACCTCTTTTAAGCCTCAGTCAAAACTGTTGATACAAATTATGTTTCTAACAGGTGCCTCTGCTGATGCTATAACTGCAAAGGTTAGATCATCAAATCATGATAAAGCCAATGATAGTTTCAATTCAAGTTCTAGTGGCTGTGATTTGAATATGAATGTTATTTGTGAGGAGTCAATACGTGACTCACCAGACTTTGAGCAATTTTTTCAAGAAGGTTATTGTAAAGCATCAGTTGACTGTCATGAATCAACAGAAGTTATAACTGAAGTGGATTGTAGCAGTCCATGTGGCAGGGAAAAATCTGATGAAGATGGTGATAATGATTACATGCTTGGTGATGTATTTGACTTCTCTGAAGAAGGTATGAATCTGAAGCAGGTTCATTTTGATTTAAATAATGTTCAGCTTATCCATAGTTGCTCTGTGTGTGCATATATGTGTGTGTGGCACTTAAAGTTGTGTATAAAAAGAACACAATATATTGGAACGTTTTCATTTAGTCATCTTGTCTGTTTGGTTGTTATTTTTCTTAGAAATACAAAATGATTGTGTTGCAGGTTGATGATTACTAATTTTATGCTTCCCTCCCTCTGAACTGCTGTAAATTGGTCCTGTAAAGGAGAAATTAATTGACAAATGCAGGTGATTTCCTTGCAACAAGCTAAATGCTACTGACCATTGATTCAAGGAATTTATTGTTCTTCCCTTTCAATGTTCCTTCCCAGTCCAATGATTCTTCTCACCTTCTAATTTTCATGTAAATGATGTATATTGAAATTCATAACTACAAATTATTTGTGTGGGTTCTGGGTGGGTTCTGTACGTGTGTATTATATTTTTTTCTTCTTCATAGTTCATTGCTTTGGAAGCAAAGCGAACAGGTGAAAGAGAAAGAGGGAGGGGGTAGATTGTTTGTTTGTTTTACTCTTGCTCTCCTTTGTTCTCATTCATGCTGGGGTATTTATATTTCTCGTCACACTCTTTGCTTAATTCAAGAGATTCATTTGTCCATGGCAAAATAGGTTCTTGATCTCGAAAGATATGAACTTCATAATAACGCAATATCCTGTTATATTATTGTCTCTTTAATATGACTTTAGAGCATATGACTACATATTACCCTTGTCCTATCCTATTATTCATAAAAACCAAATTATAAGTTTTGTTTGATCTAAGCATCAATCTATATCATCTTATGGATAAAATTTTTTCACGAAAGTATCTTTATCAATCAACCATTTCTCTAAGTTCAATAAATTGTAGCTGGAATTCATCAAGATCTTGGATTTTGCAGTCTAACTATACCTTTTGTAGTTCATGTAGAAGAGCATTTAGGAAAGTTTATTCATATGTATAGCCAATAAAAATTATGGAATACATGTTAATGGAACCAAAGGAGTATCTTTAAGGGTTATTCTTAAAAAGTGTATTTAAAATTCGTAAGTGAAATGAATTTTAACAATTATGAAACTTTTTATTTTATTATTATTATTTTTTTAGATCAATGATGTGTAAGATTATGCCAGCGGTCTTGTTGCCAACGTATGTTAAGTTTAGTGGGAGTCCTATTAGCAACTATATCAGCCGGGTAAGCAATGTAATCAAGGATTGTAATCAACCAGGTAAGAAAATAAAACACTTGATTAGAGCATGTATTCTCTTTAATAAGAATTGAATATTTGAATCAATACGCCTGAACAGTGGTTATATTTATGATAAAATATTTAGTCTTTATCACCTGTAATTTTCAATAAGAAACATTTACTTTACAAAAAGTATAAAAGTTATTTAATTATTTTTAGTCTCATGTATTCAAAATGGTATCTGTCTTAATTTGAATTATACATGAAAGTTTAGAAGAACATAAACATGGAAACACAATTCGACTCCCGAAAAATGCAACTTTGATTGTCACGGTTGGTTATACATGAATCTCAAAATAAGTTTAATACATGGTCCATCAAAAACTTGAAGAAATAAATTTTAAATCATTACATAAGTTTAAATTAGACTAACGATTTATGCACCGATTCATTTTATAAAATAATTATTATTTTTTAAATAAAAATAATATTATTTTATTAATATATATATATATATTATAAATTAATTTAATAAAAAATTCACTTACTTTAAAAATAAATATAAAAGTAAATCTTTAATATTTACTTATTCTAATATTTTAATAAAAATTTCTCGATTAGAAGAAGAATGAAAACAAATTATTTTTAAATAATTATCTTATTCTAAATAAAAAGATAAGAATACTCAAAACACAAATTCAAAATATGGATAATAATATTAAAACCAAGATAAAGAAACAACAACCTATTAAGATAAATTCATATCCTTTCTTATTTACTTTTCACATTAATTATTCTTCTTTCTAAAAAATTTCTTCACATTTTCATTAACAATCTAATCTTCTTATACTTTACCTACTTACTATTGCATATAGAATCATGATCTAAATTAGGAGTTTCAAAGTCTTATAAAAATAAAAATAAAAAAGAATATCTCATCTTCTTAAGACTCCTTAAAATCATTTTATGAAACCTAATATTCACCTAAAAAGTAAATTCCTCGAGATAACTCAATCCTAATTTTTAAGATTCATTGCACATATACTCACAAATGCTTATAGAACCTTATTCTATGTTACATCATCATTTGTGAGAATTCTTCTTTAAAAATTTATGATAAAAAACTAAGATTTGCTGACATAACCTAACATATGATTACTAATACATCTATATCAAAAGTAAGACATGAATTCATCTATGAATCACTAAATGAAGAAATCAATCATACTCCATCCAAAATCTTAGTTTCTTCAAAACTAAACGGAGAACCTTAGTTTACACCAGACGACATTCCATCTAGCCAATGTAGATTAGGTTATTGATTTTGAAACATGATTAGATACTAAAATGATAAAAAAATGTTAATCCTTATATAAAGTAATCAAATAATTTTGTTGCAAAATAATTGAAAATTCAAAAAATGGTATCATAATCTGGTGCATTAAGACAAGATCAATTTCATGAATTAAACAATATGTTAATTGTTTTAGGAATCCTATATAAAGAATTCATAGGAGATGGTTTAATTATTGACAAAAAACTTAGATCTCTCGAAGACTTCTTAACTGCTATCCTTCAAACAAGATAATTTCATTCAACAACGATTCCCAATAACCATTGTTCTTCAAATCAATAATTGAATTCTATGTTCATGAAAGTTTGCAAAAGGTGGAAGACCAAGTAGATGACTTTGATATACTATTAAAGCATATTCATTTACCTTTACACATATTTATTACATATTTTACAAACGTGTTAATAAAGATAAAATCGAATCAATATTGTTTCACATCCAAAATTTATTGTCATCTTATGATAAAAACTTATTTTTAGTATGTTTTAACTTTTGTCGACTGTTATAGGTGTCGATCTTATTTTTAATGTAAGATTTTATATTAAATTTTTGAGTTTAAATTTTATTTTTGTTTAATGCGATTTTGAAATCCACTTGTATGTATATATTGGAAAACTTGTAAATAGAAAGGAAATCAAATCAAATAAAATTCTAAATTCTTTTTTTAAACATGTTTCCTTTCTCCATCTCGAAAAACTTGAAATATATAATTATACTATCTACTATATATATATAAAGTATGTTTTAAAAATCTTGTCTATTAAAAAGTGTTCTAAAAAGAAGTTGGGAATGAGTTGTCTCTAGAATTTCGATGTGTGTTTTTTTCCCCTGGTGTGTTGGTTTTTGTCCCCTTATATAATCCTCCATGGGCAGGATTAACCACCCTTTTTGAGGTTCATGGGTCGATCCTTCGAGTGTATTTTTTGGTTTCGTGATAATCGTGGGACGTGGGACGTGGGACTGAACAATCGGTCACATATTCAAGATAATGTGTCGGTCATGAGATTATTAGAGCATGACACCACAACAAATTCTTATCCACAAATCAAATTTAGTTATACTTTTGACTCATGAGAATGAAATATACTGGAAAAAAAAGGTTATAATGTTATGAGGGCTTAAGTTTTATCTTAAAGATACCTAAGGATATTCTCCTTATTTTTTTTTATAAATAATATTGTGTCTTTCTTTATTTTATTAAAATTATTTTAATTTGTTTTTAACATTATTTTCTTTTAATAGAAGATGACGTAACAAACTTTTTATTATCAAGAAATTTCAAGCTACAGGTAGAAATGATGGGAAAAAAATCTCTTATCCTATTACATACGGTTTTTTGCTTATTCATTTTTTTAATCTAATTTTATGATAATAAATAATAAAATGGTTGATTTGTCTCATAACAAAAAAATTAATTAAGTTTCTAGTAATTTAATTTTTATTTTTTTCTCGTATATATTTAATATTTAAATATTCAATTTAATTATACATTATTTTGTTCTTTCTTTCTTCTTCTTTTTTCATTTGTTTTCAATAATATTATTTCTTTCTTAAATTCTCCTACAATCATCTTAAATTCTTGTGCACATTTTTTTTGTGTGTACTTTTTTCTATCAATGAAAGACTACAATACATTTTTATGCGCAAGTTTTCTGATTTGTGTACATTGTTCTTTCAATAGAAAGTACCGTAGCTATCTAATGTGAAGAATTTGAATCTATAAATTAAGATGACGAGGTGCTATTTTTTTTCAATTTATTTTTTTATCTTTTCAACCTATTTTCATGTATCTTATAAAAGCAAGAATTTTCAACAAAAATTAAATTTTAAGAATTTTCACGGTAAGTTATGTAATTTGATTTAATAATATATATGTATATTATTACGTGTTAATAAGCACAGTGCATGCATACTACATACTCAACATTAATGGTTGACGAACAAGAAGAAAGTTTATCTAAACAAAAGTTTTTGTTAGAATTGGTACGAGTAAATGCTATATTTTGTAATACTGTTTAGCAAAACCAAATTACTAACAAAAAAAGTGGTGCCTGAAGTTGTTTGTCGAGAGAAGTGGCCTTGGTTCAACTTCCAACATTCCAAAGATTGGTAATAATTTGATGCAAAGCATGGCGAATGGTGTAGAGGAATGTGTGAGGTGTTGATGGGAATGGCGTATTTTGGGGATTGAGCCTTCGAATCCAGCATCCCAGCCACACACATTTCTGCATCAAATGGTTTGTCAGAGAGACATGGTGTTCAGAAAATTATTCAACTTCCATTCAAACAAGCATCAACCACAACATCTTGCACACTGCTACCTGTCTCCTCAATAATTGCTTCAAACCCAAAACTTACAAGTAAGAAGGTAAAACACTGTGTAATAAACCAATATAACTCACCCCATGCATGCATGCATGCATGCATGCATCTTCATGCAAAAGTTTCACAATCTTATTTTCTCATAAATCCATCATTTAAAATGCATTTAGCATGTTTGAACATGGTGAAGTGAACACAGAAAAGACAATCTTGATTACTTAGTGGGGGCACCTTTTGAGTATTTATTTAATGATTAACGCGTGGCTTTGGATACCCAAAAATCCTACATTTTTGTACTTTTTTGGGGCTGGCAGTGGTGGGAAGGAAAAGTGTGCATTAAGTGCATGAAATGTACGAAATCATATTGGATATGAAAAGCTCAAAGACAATGAGGGTGGTCCCTTCACATCTCAGTTTGTGATGTGCACAAACTCACTTTCGGCTATTCGATGGTAGAAGATAAAAATGGACAAAACTTAGCTAAAGCTATAAGCCTATAAGCTGCATGCTGCCTTGTGATTCTTTTGTTTTGCTACTGTTTAATGGGTCACTTCCACCCTCTTTATCTTTTAAGAGGGGCACCACATTCAAACTTGCCAACAATGTTGCCTCCAATGAACCACAAATTTAAAAGTCAGTTCTTATGGTTAAGTGAAGAAAGATAACATCCAATAAACAACTTTATCATGGCTCAAGGTTTATCAACATTTACTTTGATATCAGAAGATGTAGAGGGAGTTCAAATTCATCAATCAAATTTCTTCATTAATGTTATGATCCCTTTAAAAAAAATTATTTACTTGAATTGATTACCTTAAAACTAATCTTCCGGTTTTGCTTCTGGGTAGAGAATCGAGATGACATGTTTTTCAATCTCAAATTAAGCACTAAAGACATCTATGGTGAGGCACTATAATAATGAGATGTTCTTAAGTGATTAAAAATTAGAAATAAGTGATTGAAAAAGAAGAAATAGGAAGAGTGAGAAAAAGATAGGAGCATGTAATCTCATTTTTTCACTTTTATTCGTTCATGTTATGTTACAATTGGTGATTAATTTTTGCATTTATCTTTCCTTGTGAGAAATATACTTCATCTTTTTATATTACTAATGATTCTTAATGTGAGTTTCATCTCATTTAATTGTATAATACAAATCTTAAGAGTTATATTTTTTAAGGATTTTTTATTTTATTTTGTACAACAAACCAACTTCATGATATATATTCACACCAAGGTTTCTAGTTGTTTGAAATAGAGAAATGTGAAAACCATGATAAATAATGCTTCTATATTGTCTAAGGACCACCATTAATGGTCAAATTCACCATAAAATATTCATGATTCTACAGTGAATTGAAAAGTAATATATCCTTTTTTTATTTTTCTCAAATTCCAGTCTCATCACACCTATATGTAAAATATTTTTTATTTGCTATTTTTTATATTTTTTATATAATATTATATTTAAAAGATATAGTCCTTTACGAGAGTCTCTCCAAATTTTTTGAGATTTTGGAGGTGAATGTTCATCACATTTTAATATAATTCAATTTTTATTTAAAAATAAATAAATAAACCAAATCAATATTTCGTGATTTTTTTTATTTTAGTTGTTTTTATTATAAAAATAATTATTTAGTAAAGAAATTTATTATGTATAATTAATTATGATATTCATAATTTTAATTTATTTCCGTATGCTTTCATATTTTATTTAAAAAAATAATAATATATATCATAAGTTATATATAAAAAACGGTTCACCACATTTTATGTTTTAATTTTATTATTATATATTAATTTTAGTTCAGTTCGATTTGGATGGATTCTTGACCATCTAACCAAAATTGAACCGAACATATTGATATAAAAAAATTTTAATATAAAAGAAATAAATTTTGATGGATTTTCAAATTTATTTTTGAATTGGTTTAGTTTTAAATAGATTCACCAATACACTTATAAATGTGAATATTTTAAATAATTTATTTCATATAATAAATTATAATAATAAAATATGTAAATAAACAGTGAAAGAAACATTTTCTACCTCAAACAAATATTTAGAAAAAAAAAGCTATACAAATTAATATATTTTATATATATATATATATATATATATATATATATATATATAAAAGATAATTGAGTGTAAGTTAATTACGTTTTTCGCATATTTTTTAGAAAGTCAAAAGTTAAAATATCATGTATGAAGAAAATTTTGTACTTGAAAAATAACTTTAATCTTTTTTAATTTCTATATTCAAATTGTACTTAAAAACATATTTTTAAATCGTAATTTTAAGTATGATTTTTTTTAATGATAATAATAGTAAAAAAAAAATGAGGTGGGAAACTACAACTTAAAAAAAGTGTTTTAGAATATAATTCCAATAGAAAAAATTAAAATATCATATTTGAATGTACATCTTTATTTTGCAGTCATGTTTACAAGTACTATTTATTTATTTATATAATTTTCTAAAAATTATATAAATTGATAATTTCTATTTTTAAAAAAAAACACACTTTTTTTTTATGCTTTGGTTGAATGTTACTATAAACTGAAACTGACAAAAATCTCCAATAATGAATTATGCCAAGCAGCCTATAATTGGTGATTTTTTATCCAGACCCTGTCAGCCGACATAAAAATACCTTTATTTCCTCTTTTCTTCTTTTTATTTTTCCAAGTCAATAAAGATTTGCCTCTCTTCTCTCTTACTTGTTTCCCATTCTATAACCATTTCAAATTCAAGTTTTTTCTCATCTTCATCAATCATAATCATAAAGTCTTAATGACCCATATTCTTTCCATTCATACAATGATTAACTTTCTAATAGTTCAAAAACTTTCAACATCATATATTTTATACATTTTACTCTTCTTTCAAAACTTATCCTTATGAAGAAAAAATTGAAATTTGGATTATCTCATAAGCAGAATGTAAAGGACATAGTTTTTTCTCCAAAGAATGAAGTAAGAATCGAAAAATAATTAAGAAAAGATGAAAAAAACTGTATTCTATATGGCTGGATAAAACTAAATAGAGCAACATTTTCCTAGTTCATAATCAAAGACAGAAATGAGAAGGGTGGGGCATAGGTCATATTCTATGGTAAATTGTCGCTTCTGTAAATAATTAATAGCAGTTGTTCATGAGAAGCATCACCCAATGAAACTTCGACAGCAAGGGAAAGTACAACAAATGCAATAGCAGCAGCAATTTCAGAGATATAATAATAATGAGTCCATAAGATTCCACGTACTCATTACCATACTTCTTTACAATTTTTTTGTGAGAAAGCGATGGATTAGGAATTGGAATTGGAAGATAATAACAGATATGCTATGAAATAACTACAAAGTCTAATCCTACACTATGCCAAATTAATCTAAAATTTGTTCAATTTTTATATGTTACCTAAACCATTCCATTTGTACTTTGTAAAAGACACAGTTTATTTAAAAAATATCTTGGGATGCTCTCTAGAAAGTTTCTCTTATCCTCTCTTCTAACAGCGAGCTCAGAAGAGGAAAAAGAAAACAGAATATTGCCCCTTACATGTAAATTATATAAAATTAACAATTTCTTGAAAAAATTATATCAATAAATAAGTTCTTTTTTTTTTTTAACTTGACCTTATAACAACTTTGCTGCTATGTAAGTTGAACAGAGTAAAAAAAGTTGTTCTTTTCTAATTAACATAAAAAACTTTATCATTTTATTATTTGTATAAATGTTATGCTATTTTTTCAAGTATACCGAACATAGAATAAAATTTACGTGTTGTGTTGGGTCAGTTTTTAGTAGTTTATCCTTGGATATAATGATCCGAAAGTTAAGTGAGGTGGGTGTTATTGCTTTTGTAGTTCAAAAATCAGCAAGTTAAGCCTGGTTTAGCAAGAATTTACAGGGAAGTGTGAAGTGAGAAACTTGGGGTTTTGACTTTGAAAAGAAAAAAAAAATGGCATCACCACCTCGGGTTGAGGGGATGAATTCAGAATGATAAGCTTGCTTTTAAGAAAATAATGCAACAAGCAGAGATAAAGATGGAGGTAATATCTACCGATCTACTAAAGAAATAAAAAGAGGGAGGCAATAATTACAAAATGAAAAAGAAAGAAACATGAATGGTACGTGGCGTGAGGTTTAGATTAGATCTATTGATCCTTTTAAGTTAAACTATTAGAGGTGAAGGTGGCCTTAAATGATAGGTTCATGGGGAAGCAATGAACAGAAACACAATAAGTGACTGGCTTTGAAAACTGTTACCATATTAAATAAAATATTTATTATTATAAAACACAGATGATAGTTGTCTCGTTTCAAGTATGAAATAAAGACTACACTATATAATAAACTAGAGAGCAGAAGAAACGAGTACCTAAAATATTGAGTGTGGGTGGTTAGAACTTGAGACTAACAATGGATGGTCTAGTTCAGCTGCAGAAGCAACTTGTTGATTACACTGCTTCCCTTTTTCGTGAGGTGAGTAAGCATGCTATGCAATTGCCACTTTACGTTACAATGAAATAGCTAGAAAAGAAAAGGTTCACAAGCTATGTTTATTGGGTTGTATGCTTTCTGATTTCCCTTGTTATCTCTCAATGTGGTGGTGTCTTTGTTCTCTTCCAAAAGGGCTTTCTAGATGATCAATTTAACCAGCTTCAGCAACTTCAAGATGAAAGTAACCCAGAATTTGTGGTTGAAGTGGTCACTCTCTTTTTTGAAGATGCGGAGAGGCTTCTTAACGAGCTCTCAAAAACACTGTAAGAGCCCTGCAATTTCCTGTTTTATTATATATCTTTAGACCAAGTAATCATGTCCCATGGGGAACCTCTTTCCTAACTCCACACTTCAATAATAGGGATTCATCCTTCCCAAACAGAGGCCAGGCAAGCATTGATTTTAAAAAGTTGGATGCTCATGTTCACCAGTTGAAGGGTAGCAGCTCCAGGTAATTAATTGTTCATACCTTCTTTCTCCCTGCCATAAACTTTATATAGAACTTTCTCAAAACAAACTATGTTGGTAATAATGTTGGCCTTGCTTTCTTGAGTTGGTGTAGTTGTCTTGTATCTCCTGCTGTCACTAGAAATACCACATTCTTAGACCCAGTTATTTTTTAGCAAGAACATGTAGCGTAGTGGCATGGACCTCACCCTTGTTAGAGTCTATTCAGAAAGATACATTTCTATTTGCCTTACCTCACTATTTGGTGTTTTACGACTATCGTAAATTTGATCAAGTTATTGGAAATGCAGCATTGGAGCACAGAGAGTTCACAGTGTCTGCATTTCCTTCCGAAACTCTTGCGAGGAGCAAAACGTTGAAGGGTAAGGTTCTCGACAATTTTCCATATTAAAATACACTTATATGATGTGCGTGTGTGTGGTTTGATATGCTTTTCTTCTGTGCCGAGAAAAATCTTCATATGCTAATACGAAAAAAAATCTTGGTGTTCAGATGTCTTAAAAACTTGCAACAAGTGAGACATGAGTATTCCTTGGTGAAAACCAAGCTTGAAACTCTCTTCAGGGTAAGGGCATGAGCTTTTTGTCTAGTGCTTTCTATAAAATCCTGAGAAGCGTTAAAATCTATAATTTTATCTTTCTACTTATGTGATTGTAGATGGAGAAACAGATTTTGGAGGCTGCTGGATAGGTTTGTAGGTAGTGTGATACGAGGCAGAAATGTTAACCTGCAATTGAAATTTGGAAACAACACTCAGAACAAGTAATGGCTAATCTGCAGATGAAACAACCCCACTTCTATGTTGTATTTCCCACTTTGTGTATGATTTTGTCAAGTGGATCATGGTCTTGAAATTTATCAGTTGATCAAGAGTTGACCTATATTTAGTCCAAAAGCTATGTGAATAACCCATGCTTCACTTCAATGGTTTAAAAGATAAAAATAGACGCTGGAACTCTAACCTGTTGAAATATTAACCATATTTTTGTTTGCAAAGAAATCTCTTCTGTAGTATAGAGCGTAATTGAATTACCGTCTTGCTCTTGATGCAAAAACCATTAGAAAACTAGAAATTAACTATGGTTGTTGAAATTGAAATTGCTAATTAATAACATGGTTTCATCAGTAACCACAAAAAAACCTCCCTTTGTACTGGCTAGATCTATGCTATTAATTTTTCACAAGGCACCAAACTTGAACGCTTCAACATAAGGGTACCTTAACCTTATAACACATTGCTTTTTCATATTTCGTAATAGATATGGATTTCAAGAAATAGTTTTAATTATCAGAGTGACTGATATGGTGTAGGAGTAAGAATTTCTCGTCTAGAGCAAAGGAAAAAAAATCCAAAATGGTGGTTAGTGTTGATGTGGTGTGAACAATATTTGCAGTTACCAGTGATATGTTGTTTGGTCTGAACAATGTGCTACATTCAATGGATTGGTGTATTTTACTTGGTCAACTTGTTCCAGATAGGTGAGATGTCTCTTGGTCAGCACGTCAATTGCAGACAAGATCCAAAACCAAGCCAAGCTAGCTGTAATAATGACCAATCACAGATTGCTGTACCAATTAGAACTACCAAACTTTTTTTAAACCACTCAAGTATCTTAATAATTTTGAAATAATGTTAATTTTGTTAGTTATTTCAAGGATATTAATGAAAAAATTAACACTACTCAAGAGATGAGTCAACCATTATCTTTAATTCAAAATCTTGGTGCATTTAAATGTAATCTTTCTGATTTATACGTGAAACTTCAAAACAAACTTGAATTATTACCAAAATTTAACACTATATTAAACATGCAGTGCATAGTAATCAATAAATTTTGGTTTAGTTGAAGATACAGTGTTATGATTGGATTGTTGTTACATGTTTGAAGTTTGTACAATTAATGACAAAACCAAGATCAGACAAACCATTCTACATGTTTTTTTATCTTGTCAACAATTAACTTGCAATCCATTTGGATGATTCAAAGTTTGTGGGAGAGAAGTATTTTTGAATACAGCTTGAGCAATAACACTAGCCCATGGACCTAACAGTTCCATGTATTTAGTCACGCTTGTGGTGAAGTTGAATTTTGTAGTCCAACAAAATAATAGTTGAGAAGTGGATACTGTTCTGATAAGGAATCTGAAAAAAATTAAAAATTATGTGAGGAGTGAATTCTTTAAGAAGTTATGGGGAAGATCCAAAACGTTGGTATCTGAATTAATAATGTTTGGCGAACGTATTTGACTCGTAGTTCCAGTTCCAGCTGGGGGAGATTCCGTTTAAAGTTATTTGCCATATATTTTACTTCTCTACAGATCACATTGCCATGGGTGTTTAAGACATATGTAATGTCTTCAACTAATTACAAGATTTAATATTAGGTGGTGTATGCATGCAAAAGAACAAGGGTTATTCTTATTCTAATTACCCTTGTAACACCCACGTGTTTTGAACAGGGTTAAACGTGGGCGTCTACCAAATCATTAACCTCTTTTATTCAGATTGTTCTACGCTGTTAAAAATGCTTTTCTCCTTTTACGTATCCATACTTATTATATTTATATTGTCAAGAGTAATAGTTGTGTGCAAATGTAAGAGTAATTCATAATTATCCTTTCTTAATGTTATTTAATTGTTTAATAAATATAATACAATACTAATATAATTTTTTTTTTATGAAGTTGGTGATAGGTTGATTATATAAATTTATTATTTTCTTTTGAGATTTTATTATATAAATAAAAAATATTATTAATTGTTATTAATAGTTATAATATTTTATTAAATATTATTAATGATAACAATATTTTATTTAATAATAACGACTGATTAAATATTACGTTATAATAATTTATTAAATCTTATTAACTTTTTTATGAAGTTGGTGATAGGTTCATTATATAAATTTATTATTTTATTTTAAGATTTTATTATATAAATAAAAATTATTATTTTTAAAAAAATGTTAATTTTTTAATAGCATGTTAATTATTTTAATCTCTTTTCTTCATCTAAAATTACTTATAATAATTTTTTCTATGTTTCTATGATAAATATAATTAAAAGATAAAAATAGAATTAATCAAAAAATAACGCTTTTAAATTTTATAAATCACAAATTAAATAAAAATAGTATTTAAAAAAACTGACAATTAAAAAGAAACAAACAATATTTTTCATTTTTTTTCTCTTCCTATTTCTCCATTTCTTTTCTAACACTCCCAGCAAAGATTGAAGGAAGATTATTTGACCCTCTGATAAAAATATTACTTCATGCAAGTAAAAATAATGATTTATGATATTATATCATATTTAAATAATATATCGATAATTAATTTTAATTTTTTTAATATATTTTAAACAACTTATTATTTATTTTGTTTTTGTTTACTTTTATAAATTATTTAATAAAATAATTATCAATAAAATGTAAACAATTTATCGTCACACACAATATTTTTCAAATGAAAAATTAGCTCAAACAAATCTTAATAAACAAGTCGAGTGGGAAATGATATTCCAAGAGCTTATTAAACTTTCCTTATTAATTTTAAAATATAATAAATAACAAATTAAAATTAAATATTTGTTCAAATATCAAATTATTAATTATTATTTTTTATAAGAAACAAGTTTTTTAAATAATATCTTTACATTAATATTTTTTTTCAACAATATATTTTGATATATAATTATAAATATTTTTATTATAAAATTATGTTTAAAAAAATAGTTGAAATTAACAAAATAATATTATATTATAAAATATATTAAAATATTTTTAATTTTTATTAGTATTTTTATACTTATGAAACTCTATTATCATTAAAAGTTAATATATATTATTAAAAAAATGAGAAAATTTATAAAATAATATTTATTTATTTTAACATATAAATAAAAAATAAAATATTATAATTTTTTTCTATTTTTTAATATCAAGTAATAAAAATAATTATTTTATTTATTAATCATTTTCATTTTTTATTTTCTTTACAAATGAAACAATCCTTAAAAAATAGTCAATTTCATTATTTCTTAGAATCGCAAATAAATATTTGGAACTAGTAAATGTAACGGCTCCAAAATTTATATAACATAAATATTACACTTAAATGAACAAATAATTTAAAATGTAAATATTTTTTTTAGGAAATAATATATCACAAACTATTAAATTAATGTATGTTATTATTAAGAATCCTATCAGTATTATCTATTTTTTTTAATTTGTAATTTTATAATCATCATAATTTAAAATAATATAAAAAATAAACTAATAATTTTAAATAAAAATATATTACATTTAATTTTTTTATAAAATAATTATTATGTGTATTTTTACATATATTAATATTACATATATTTATTTTAAATTTAAATCATCACATCAATTCATATTATAAAAAAATTACGTAACATTTCATCCAAATTCACAATTATATTAAAAAATATATTAAATGACTATTGAGAATATTATATATTAAAATGGGCATAAAAAAATATACATAGTCATAATATAACTCTTAAAATATTTAAATAAATATTTTTAATTTGGTGCATATACTATTAGGGTAAATTTTTAAATAATTTATAAAAAAAATATACATAGTCATAATATAACTCTTAAAATATTTAAATAAATATTTTTAATTTGGTGCATATACTATTAGGGTAAATTTTTAAATAATTTATCAAAATATATCTCTCTAACTAATCTATATGTTAAGATTTTAACATAAAATCAATTAGTATGTATTTAAACTATACCAAATGACATGAAGTAGATGATGTGGGACTTTCAACACACCTCCTCCAACGAAATCTGTCGGACCAGACAAAGGATACTTTAGACCCAACTAAATGACAACTTTTGTTGTCCATGACAATAATCGGAAATAGGTTAGGTTTTGACTCTGATACCATGTTAAGGTTCCACTATAAAATCAATTGATAATATGTGAAGTAGCTTAACATGTATTTAAATCATACCAAATAATACGATACAAGTGATGTGAAATTTTCAATACTATTCATAAGTATTTAATATTTTTATGAAAAACTTACATAAAATAATAACTGATCCTATTAGGGAAGGAGGTAGATAAAAAGAAACTTAGGATTAGGAGAAAGATAGACTCAGCTACAACTTATTGGAAAGCTATATCTATAATAGTAGAAAGATAAAAACAGGTCAGTTTTTCTGACCTGCAAAAATGGAGCCAGTGGACTGACATGGTTAGGACTGATTCTAAACTTTAACTCATCCCGTTAGCATGTCAATATTGTATATGTTGATTAATTTTTATAATTTAAATTATAATGTTATATTATATTTTTATATTTTAATAACATAAAAAAGTATTATAGTTATTTTAATTAAAAAAAATTATTTCAATTTTAATATATAAATAATTTTTAAAACGAGTTCATTTTATCTTTAATCTGACAAATTATAATGAGTTAGACAAATAATTAAAACCACCTATACCCATTCGGATAGACCTGTAGAACCTAACCATTTTACCAATCCCTATCTAGCATCAATTGAATAGTTCATTTAACTCTCAATATATCTACCTTTAATATTTTTTGAAATGAAAATAGAATATTTATTTTTAATTTGATAGAGACAAAGCTGTGAGAAACATGTTTGTGAGCTAAGTGATGCTTGATGACTTTTCTT